GTTCACAATAAACACAGAATTAGTCATGTCAAGACTGCCACGAATGAATGTGTAAAGTTTTTTTTATATTATCTTTAACGTTTGCTCAATATAATTAACCTTATGTGAAAGTCTCCCTACAGTTCTCAAGAAAATGGAAGATCTCCGATTTAGACCCAATTTTTCAACAATTCCTATCGGTTAAAAGACAGAAAAGTCCGATTAAAAAAATGACTACAGTTTGATTTTTTCGAAAACAAAAGGAATCGCCACTGTCGTTGCTATGGCAACAATGACGTTTCAATATGGCTGGTATTTTGGGTTTAAAGTTATTTAACTTGCAAATAAGGTCGGTTATCCCATTTTTTATTTCATAAAACAAATTTGTTTAGTATTTTGAATCATTATTATGACTTTTAAAGAATTATGTCATGCGAAATAATATTGTTACGAGTCTTCCATTTTTTAAGAAGTGTAGATAGCCAGCCACCTTAACCAATATATTAATTCGTACATTTGTACTTTGGCGCATACACTCTAAAATTGTAATGTTTGAACATTGCCTAAGTGACACGAAGAGTTAGAACTCAGTTACACTGCTATCGCTATCGCTATCAACTGGATTATATGTGTCGTGAGAATCAACATCCTCAATTGTGTCCGTATCTCCATTGGCACCATTCTGGCAATCCTCGTTTGGTGGTAATAATTCCTCGTCAAATTTTCCTCCTTTAAACAGTAAGTAACGAACGAGATTTTATATGCTGACGATATTATTATTATTTATATTTATATGCTGACGACTTATTTATATGCTGACGATACCCAAATTTGCTGCAGCTCTAACAGTTTGATTGAATTAACCGAAAACCTTAATCACGATCTGAGTAGAATCGGTGATTGGCTTTCTAGAAATAAATTACAACACCACCCAACTAAGACCAAAATAATGTTCTTTGGCTCTAAACATCATATTAATTCCACAACTTTTGATCATCCAGTGATGTTAAATAACCAACGCATCCCCAGAGTTCACTCTTTCACATGTCTTGGTCTCGATTTAGATGAAAATCTTAGCTGGAATTCACATATTCAGGCGATTTGCAAAAAGGTTGGAGCAGGCCTGGGTACTTTGAGACGTATTAAACCCTTTGTTCCAATAACCACCCTTCAAACAATTTATCGAGCTCTGATTCAGCCGTATTTTTATTATTGTTCTCCCATTTGGGGCGTCTGTGATCAAAATTTGAAAAATAAACTCCAAAAATTTCAAAATCGCGCAGCCCGAATCATTGTCGGTGCAAGTTATGAGATTAGATCTGCTGATGTTCTTCAATCTCTTGCTTGGGACAATTTAGAGACAATACGACGTACAAACAAAGCAATATTAATGTTTAAAGTCTTGAAGGATTACGTAGGACCTACGTTGAAAGAATCCTTGATAAGACGCAATCATATGCAAACAAATTATGATCTTAGAAATAGTCATACAGATTTGGCTCTTCCTAAGCCTAAAAGAGAATTCCTAAAAAAGAGTTTTAAATACAGTGGGGCTAAGCTATGGAATAGTCTCTCTATCGATACGAAACTGGCAGAATCAATGCACCTGTTCAAAAGCCATTTAAAACTTAACTCTAATACTATATATATTTGAAATAAATTGTAACTCCGTCTAACCATAACATCTGGGGTCACACCAATTTGTAAATAGTCTTCTTTTCCCTTATATCTTTTGTAATTTTTAACATTGTAGACGCCCCCCGTGGAAACCAACGCACCGTTGACGGGGCTAGTGTCTCTAAATAAAGTTTTAATACAATTAATACAATCACTCTGATTTTCAGCGCCGTACAAATGGCACACAAACGTTTTTAAGACAGCTTTCATAGAACTTGGTACATCCAATTCATTTCCAAGGTTTGAAAATGCCAGAGCGTACTCTTCGCTTTCCATCGCAATTTTAGGTGCTGAAGACTTTCCTTTTCCAAAGAATGCGCTTGTGGTATCGCAACCTTAAAGAAGGATATTAATTAATTTTTCATTCGGAAAATGGTTGAGCAGCAAATTTAAAATTAAAAGTGTTACCTGTAAAAGAATGAAAACCAATTAATGCTGCACTCCACAGATCTCCCAAATTCTCTTTAACTTTACTAATTGATATTATCCGCCTTTTATCTTTCGTCCCTGTCTCGAAATATAAATCAGCACGAATTGACAAGCTAGCATTTACGGCTATGATAAATACGTCCGTATCCGGACTTTTAATAATGATACTGGAATACTCTGCGGACGCACTCTTTGCGTGAGCGAGCATTCTCGTGTCCGCCTCCTCGTGGTCACAGGCAAGATCTTCTACTTCGTGGCATGCGATTGTATTTGTCAAGGCAACAAGCTGATGGCACTGGCTTTCGTGTGCGATAAAAACTTCTACACCTCGCAGCAGCTGTGGATCGCACTCCTCACTCCAGGATTTAAAAAGAAATTTTATCAGTTCTTCCTTGTTTTCTCCAGCCGTTATAAATTTCTTCCATTGGCGAGGAACTTTCTGGAGGGAACTGTAGATTTTAATCAGCTGCGTCCCTCTTTCACCACGTATTGCCCTTTCAAAGTCTTTTATGCTCTGGGCAGGATAACGATCGCATACAAAATCAACTCTTTTCGCTTTCGTCTTCACGGCTAGTTCCACAACCATGACAAGTAGTTTATGGGCAAGCTCACCAAATGTAGATGGGATAATTTTGATGGTTTGAAGTATTGCCATAGCATTCAGTATAAGAACTTTATCGCCTTCAATTCTATCAACTAAGTGATCAGTAGTCCTGTTCTCGATAAGATGTAATAGTTTTGACTTCGCAGTTTTTACAAGATTGCCATCAGATGTAGCCAAAGGAAGTGGGAATGGTCTTAATGAGTATTGAAGAACCTCTTTCATATCTACGTCTCTGCTTCTGGCGATGAGCAACATTTTGGCAAACAGCTTTTTTGAATTCTTTACTGCTACAACGTCTCCTTTCCTATTTTTGCTGTTCACCTTTGTGCTCATTTGAGAAAAAGTCTTCAGATTAGTTTTCTTAATTGCAGCGTATATATCAGGCTTGCTACATAGAACTTTCGTGTTCATGAAATCCAAGGCAGCTTTTTCGCCTCTTTCGAACATGTTTGTCATGTCTGATGCAACAGCATTTGTGGCTACTTTTCCACTTGCGAGATGGACGAGTTCGGTATGATCATTTTCAAAGGGATTAACAAAAGCGTCGATTGTGTGAATAACTTCTACTACTGCATCTTTGTCAGATTTTATCCTTGTCTTGTCCAAGTCCTTTCTATCTCTGAAATGTGAATGAACATGCAAGTTTAATTTATTCATTCTCTGTTCGTATGAATGCATAATATATTGTACATTTTTTTATGTTCATGCATTATATTCACCTGGGGATATCAGATACATTTGCCATCAATTCACATTGACGCATGATTGCTGCTCGTTCTGCTTGTCCTAGTATCCATCGATGCATAGCCCCACGGTTAAGAGTAATGCCTACTAGCCCACCTTTCACTTTAGAGTCGCGATTTAGCGTTTGTTCTATAGTTTGGTCACATGCGACACTTGAAAATCCATAGTTTGACTGTCTCTGTACAGTCCAGTTCGTTGCAATGTTGAACGAAACATCTAAAAAGTTGAAGAATAAAGTAATTGATAATTTGGGTATACAACATGCATAACCTACACTGGATAACAACTTGTCCTGATCAATGTTTGGTAAGGTAAAGTAACTGCCTAACTCATTATTCTAACTTTTCATTTATTGCCAGCAATACACTTACACGGGTGTGTTTCGTCCAGACAAGACATTTCTAACCAGTAGCAGGGGGAGTATCGTGCGTAATTGATGCGGTCGGTAGCAAAAAACCAAGGGATCATAGATCTTAGAGCAGAAAGATGCAAGGCCCAGTCGGATGTTCTAGTTGCTCTGATGTATAACAAAAGTACTTGAACCATTTCAATGTATACCGACCAGAACGCAAATGTTGGATTTTCTTGGCAACATTTTTTGTTAAATTCATCAAAGTTGCACTATAACTCGTCTAATGTATTGGTTTCGAGGCAAAACTCTTTGAACGTATCATTTTCAAAACACTCTGTGAGAAGCTGACAATGGGAAAAAAATTCTTCGGATTCGGATTCAAATAATGAATTAATGTATGTTTGTAATCTCATTCGTTGTAATGCCTCGTAAACCAACTTATGTGCTCTGACACAGCGGTTATAGTGATTCCCAGAAAGAACACCAGTAATGGATCCAGGAGCAACAATTCCAGATTCAATGAAAATGTCCTAGGTTAAATACAAGACATCATGAATATAGTCAAATGTACTGTCAACAATCTACAGCAAGATATTTAATATAAACCTGTCACTATATTATGTAATTATATACCGTTAAGCCTGCATCCTTGAAAATTTTGGATATTCCAGTACAATACGACATCACAGTGTGGAAATCACCTAATCTAATGACAGTCTTATTGAGGTATTCTTCATGATTCCATCGAATCATTTGTGCTTTCGCGTATATTGCCTTGTCGAACACCAGCACAATCTGTGGTTGCTGCAGTTCTTTGCAAATTAAGACACTCCGAATTAAGACAACGGTTGCTAAATCTGTCACGGAGGCATCAATAACAGGTAAATATCCAATAGTTGCCTGCGTTGGTATAGTCGGATTTGTCTTGGTGTTGAACGCTGTCCAGCTTGGTAAGATTACTCCATTGGGTGCAGGGTGTAATTTGGACAAAATATATGCAAAATCAAATATTCTTCCATCACTCTGATGTTGGCGATGACTCTTATTATCCAAGACTAATTCGTCTTTGTGACTGAATAAAGACGGCAGTCCTTTCTTGACCAACAAATAAGGAAGAATATCTGTCTCTGGAGGTTTGATAGGTGCGTACTGTTTTGCTAACTTCTATTTTCGGTAATAATGGTGTGTCATTGGATTTTGTTTGCACAATTATACCATTGGCAACATGAGTAGTTCCTTTTCCCGATACTGTCTCCTCATTAAAATCATTGTTGTCCCATATTATGGTTGAAAATGATCCTGGATTTATATTCCTGGGAATAATTAAATTCTGATCAGTATTATTACAACTTAAAGCTAACGCTGAGTCATGTTTATATACTGTTGCTGGAGAAACACAATGCCCTAAACCATGGAGAATCTTAACAAGCTTAACAGAACCAGTAATGTGGCGAGTGGCCATTGCGAGTGCTAGTGACTTGTGCGTAAACTTTTTTCCTTTTGACGCTATATAAACGAGATCTTGTGCAATCGAAACAACCTTACAAGTTTCGCTATCACTTATGGATACCTTACTCTCTTCAACTGGTTCAACTGAAAATCCTAACATCCAAGCAATAAAATTAAACAATCTAGAGGGGATTGATTTGGTTGCTTCTTCCATTGATAGGTCATGCGAGTCGGGTGGCCAAACTACACTCATCCCTTTATTATTATTAAGAAGATTTTTTAAGTTCATTGCAACATAAAACAACTGAGACAAAGGGCAATCAAACATCTCATCTGGGTCATAATTTGTACTCATGCGGCAGCCTTCATCACTATTTTCATCCTCTTCATCTGTGTCTTCATCTTTACTTGTATCCATCACTTCATCAGCTACATCTCCTGTAACAACGCAATCTGCATACACAAGGATACCTTTAAAAAACAAAACTGAAAAATATACATCTCCAAAACCCAATACAGGGATCAAGAAAAAACAAAATAATGAAGGATTTGTTTATATTGTCAGCTGAATTTGGCTACAGGATTGAGAATACCTTTGTTCATCATCTTTGATGAATGGAAGACAATATTTGGATAACGCGCTTGGATCCTATTCTTCAACCTAGTTGATTGGTACACAATAGTTTCTCCATTCAATTTTTTGACAATCTTAATAAATTCCACCAGCAAATAGCTGAGAAGAAGTATTTCCTTGTTACCAACAATTCTTTCTTCAATAATTTCAGCACAAAAAATGTCAAACGCATTGTCATAAACTGTTGCACCAATAGGTTTGATCTTGCGCGTTAAAATCTTTGTATACTGTAAATAGCACTTTTTATGATACCGTGCTTCAATTGCAACACAGTCTTTCCCTGCAATTTCACGAAGCAAATCAGTGTCATTATGTAGTTTGGCTGCTTCTTGTAGTGCTCCTGCCGTAATTGTTTGTGCCAATGATAGGAACTGTTTTTTATACTTTCGCGAGTGCTACAAAAATGGAAACTATAATTAGAGCCTGAATCAAACGAGAACGCAAGTTGGCAATCACGCTAGTTGGAAATCACGAAGCAGTTATTTTGTTAATGCTAAAACGACTGTTACGATAGTAAATCTTGACTGCCAACTTGCGATCCTCCGCTCTCACTTGATTCGGGCTTTATAATAAGAACAATCTCAGATCACCTCTCTTATATTTGAAGTAATAAATAAAAACAATGTTTCACTATACTCACTGGTTCAAATACACTAATAGGTTTTGCTTTTTTACAAACCAAGCACCTTTTCGGTAGAATATTTCCACGAACAGAAATAGATATAGTAGGGGAACAGCTTTGTTTTTGAATTCGGGACGACTGCCTTGTCGGTGTCCTTTTCTGGGGAACAGGATCATCGTCTTGGTTTTCACATTCGTCTTTCTTTCTCTTTAAATTCGCGAGCGTTGATTCCACTCTCTCAAGCTTGGTTTTGTCAGTAAAATTTCGATAGCAAGAAACATGATAACCAAGTTTTTCGTCATGTTCACATACCTCATCTTTGTTGGCAGGGATATGAGCGTACGTTTTCTCCGCAACATCGCTGAATTCTCCGTATTTTTCAGGGAGATTCAGCCACTGTTTTCTTCGTTCGATTATTTTCGTTAATGTTTCAGTGGTTAAAGATTTTATTTGCCCGCCTTTTCCCGTGAAATGAATAATGCATGAACTTTCGTCCATTTTGTTTTGATATTCCCGCGTTTTTGCGCCATGCTTTATTATTTAACATGCAGCGAGACCTCCTTTGGTGAACATTCGGTAAACGGTCGGCGACCTTGACGTCACAATCCCTCGATTCGACTGATGTTATTTTATGATGTATGTTACGCAATATTCAAAATGGCGGCTGTTGACGTTGAAAATGAGTGCTAACATAAGAGGCAATTGTGACAAAATGAAAGAGATTAGGAGCGGGAACTCTTCGGATTCGTACTCAGCGTAGTTGAAAGTGGTAAGTTATTATAAAATTATTTAGTTCCACGAGGTGCACTACGGAATTGAACGATAGCGTGGGACAGCAAACGGCCTAATAATCACCAAACCTGAGACGAATAATTGTTTTAGTATTATTACACTAGTACTAGTCGACTTGTGTTTTTTGGGACTGAATTTATTTTAATTTCGTTTATTTAATTCTTTATTAGTAAGTTCCACAAAACGGCTAGCCGTCATTTTACAAATTCCGGTTTTGTTATATGTTCACCTGTAGATGAATATAACAGTTTGATACGTCAAATTTGACCAATCAACTTGTAGGATTTTTTATACTCACTTGTGTAAAAATACTAAATACCTATGCATCAATAAAGCAAATTTATAGCCCATATAAATTTAAGTTAATGAGACAAGGTGCAATGGGAAGATGAAGAGGAATCCCAGGTTTATATCAACCTAATCTCTGACAGTTAGGTCAAAAATCTTGACATATAGGTCAAAGATCATCTTTTGCCAGCTAGTACGCATTCGCGTGAACAAACTGTGAAACTTACTGTGAACCAATTGAAAACCTCGTACGATTGTGTTCTGTGCTTTGACCAATCATAGGGCATAACACAGCCAATCCTAATTGGCGCATAACATGCATGAATTCATGCAAAATAATGTAACTTACTCTCAGTTGTTGACGGAGTAACATTATCAAAAACCACCTCTCCTCTGCTTATACTTTCACTGGATCTAAAAATTTAAAAAAATCAGTTAAAGTTTTAATGTTACAATATTAGGGAATGAGTAATAACATTCTTATGTCTACAATATACTCGTTCCCATGAAAAGATATACTGTAGATAGACACGCATTGTATGTATTGGTAATTTTGGTATATACAGGGTGTATCAAAATAAACGCAATTCATCTTTTGTGCTTAATAACTTTCGAAATACTATTTCTAGTTAAACGCTTTTAGGCTTGCTTCAAAGCCTGTTCTTTTCTCTTTCAAACAAACTATTATCCTTGTCTCCAATGCTAGTAATAATTGCACAGGAAAAGATTTAGTAAAACCTATCATTTTTAGTTGCTGTTTAATTATGCAAGTTTACTATGTTATTGTTTAGTCGGTTTAAATGTTAGAATTTTCTTCTTTAAACTTTAATGTTGTCTTCACTACATCTGGAAAACCAAGTATAAGAACAAATTAAAAGTATTTTAAAAGAGACCAGGTTGTTTGAAAATCCTAAACGAATGCTAAAAATCGTCAAAACATTCTGGTGTCTGAGCCAGAGTGTCATCGAATTGCGATCAGTAATGTAAACAGAAATTATAGCAAGTTGAGTCAGTCAGCTTAGATGGTCCAAGCCAAAATTATATCGCATTTGAAGTTTCAAACTGAATTAAAAATAGTGGAAGAAAAGCCGTAATTATACTTATTGTTACAATCCATTTAATAAAATGCAACATTTTTTTGTTTTAATGAAAAAATCAGTTATTTTCATGAGAACGTTTAGTTATTCCATCTCAATTTTTTTGATCTCCAATCGCAATAACGTAAAGTATTATTACCCGCGAACCAATGAGTCAAATTTAAGAAACAACCCACTGCTAGAAAGCGGAATGGCTACGCTTTAAAATGAATGTAAACTTTAACGTTTTCGTCTATTATTTGTTTAGCAATTTACATTTCAGTCGAGGATTGCGCTTTTTTTTATACACCCTGTATAATACAGTAGATGATTATGTACAAAGGGATGCTACAACCGATCTCAAGGACATTATTCTGGACTGTTGGTAGACTACAGTAGCTTATCTAATTCATTGTTGATATTACGGATATTATTGGTGCATAGAAAGTATTTTGCTTGTAAGTTCTTGTTGAGTGATTGGAATAAAGAATTGTGGTTCGGGTTGAAGTCTCCGTAAAATGTCAACTTCAGGCACATAGACTCAATATATGTCACACATAATATATCTAAATCTAAGGACTGTCCATGGAGGGTTACCCCCCATGTTCAGGTTAAGGACTGACCTTATGGGCTTTTGTGCTTTTGGTCAGGTTAAGGACTTTCCATAGGGGTTTTGCGCTCCGATTGGTCAGGGTAAGGACTGTCCATACTGGGGTGTTGTGCTCTAGTTGGTCAGGTTAGGACTGTCCAAGTGAATCTTGGTCAGATTATCCGTGCCAGTTCAGAATCAGCGCAGCTAATAGGGTGTGACATATGAGTGGGCATGACGCTTGTCATATACTGTAAATGGACTCTTCACAACCAGGACCCCTCTTCCACAAAATAAAGATTTGTGTTTAATATTGTGTTGTCAACTTGGGTCATTAGTGCTTAACACAAACATGCATGCATGGTATTCTGGAATATTTTTTACTTAGTTCTTTTTTACTTAGACTATTCCTACATTCAATATTCCTAAAATATCTGAACATGGCGAGTGCATGAGGTAGCCACCTTGTTTCACATATTCATGTTCGTATACGCAGAAAATTGATATTCCTAAACCCTCAATATTCACATGTCTACCAAAAATATAGATATTCATAGACTTAGCTTATCATCATTAAGCTAGTATACCATCGATCGAATAAAGTTGTTCAAAACTGACTTGTATTTTTCAAATGACTTTTCCAGTACTTGCAGCAACAAATTCTGTATTCCGTCCAAAAGATTGGAAGAAATTTCGTTCCCGCTATTACAAGCTATATACACGCAAAACTACCTGGCAAGAGGCAAATGCAACTTGCAAGCTTGAAGAAGGAGCAACACTCGTTTCACTTAACGACAAACGAGAAGAAGACTATGTGACGAAACAAATGAAGTCAAACGGCAGTAATACTTTTCATATTGGATTAATAGCAGCAGATTATCCGGGGAATTTTGAATGGCTGGATGGCAGCATAACCTCTTACAGGAATTGGGTTAGTGGTTTTGCAAAGACGTTTACTGGAAAACCAATATTTGTGTCGGTTGGTTTGAATGGTTGGTTTACCTCAGATGAGAATATAACAGCGGCTTTTATGTGCAAATACACGCCAGGTAAGAAATAAAGTTTTTACGCATGGCTACTGTTGTCGATATATATCAGTAAGTTAGTTATCATAAATGCAACGAAAAATTTCTTTTCTTTAAGAAAAATACTTAAATTCGGCCATATTGTATGTGGACGTTCTCCTTTGAAGACGATTTCGCCCTATTCAGACGTACTGGGGTGTTCAGCGGCCTTCTGGGACTAAGAGAGGGTTGGGCGGAAAGGGACGACGGTCAATATTTCGTGAACCATTTTGTGTATTCCGACAAAACCTTTACAGGTAGATGGTATATGCCTTCTTCATGTATATCTTACAGTTACTGTATGTTCAATGTTTTGCACTAGTTACAACATGAGACGCAGTGTTGTATCGGATATAACACATTATGCGCGAATGAACACCGCGGAAAAACGTCTGCGCATGCACCAAATTATGAAAATATGGCGGGGAATTTGAATATCAATTTCTAAAACAAAAACATGCTTATTAATTGGTCAAAAATTAGTAAAACAAACGAGAAAATATAGCAAATGGGTAGACTAGACATTAATTGAAAGCGTCCTGGCATTTAAAGTATGGAATGATATATAATTCATGTAAAAAATTGTTGATTTTAACGGACACGACTTCGAAAATTTTTGCAAAATTATTCAAAACAAAATTTCAAACTCAAAAGTTAAGAAAACTCTCGAAAAGTTAAGCTTCTTAACCCACTCAAATTGTAGAATTAATCCTAAAGTTTAATTATTGTGAACACGAAAATTTTCTATATTTGGCGACACGGTTTTTTTTAAAGAAATGTATCTCAAACGAAAATTCGGAAATTGTCGTTGCTTAGTTGATAAACAAAATGTTTTAGACGATAAATTTGTCAACAATCACCTTTAGTTCATGTTCTTGTACAATACAATTTCTTGAACCTTCTGGCTGTATTTATTCCTAGTTTTTAGAATGACATGTTTATTTTTGCGCTCGAAATCTGGCTGTAAAGACGCACAATAAAGTCATTCCTTTTTACCGCCATTTTGAGCCTTCGGAAACGTTCGGAACAGCTTCCCATCAAGTTCGCAATACTATTACAGGTAAGGTTGACGCATGCGCAGACGTTTTTACGCGGTGTTGCGCGAATGTTGTTGTGAAACGTCTTGATGAGAACATTCGTATTCTTCAACATTTTAAAATAAAAGAATGATATTTGGTGAGAATATTCACTCAACTCACTTATTGAACCGTTAACGTTTATGTAAATCAGGTTGCAAGCTCATGATTTCTTTTGTGTTTTCTTCATGAATTATTGATAAGTTTGACAATTTAAAAATTAATACAGTAAAAAGTTAGCATATCAAAAAAAAATTATTTCTATAAAAAACTGCTTCCTTTTATTGTACCTATTATAATGTAATTTAAAAATTTGATGTTGGTGGGCGTTCACGACTACGCTGTAACTTATTAATTTTTCGTGGCGTATTAATTTTTCACTAAATTTTCCACACATAAAACCCATAATTACTGAATATTTAGGAAAAGTCAAAAAATATCAGAACCTATGTACCTGCACTGTTCAGAACATTGGGGTTAAACTAATTTTCTAAGTCCACTTTCGCAATCACCCTGACTATCTTGGGAAACAAATTGAAAAAACTCGTTAAAATTTGCTTATTATTCACATCTGTTTGGAATATCTTATAATGACTTGTTTCTACCCACCACACATTAGGAATTGGGCCATGTGATTTTGAAACAGGTTGGTGTGGCTGGCGAGACAATTTTACCACAAACGGTTCTAGATGGTATCGTTCAGTGGACGAAGATCGCACATCTTCAGAAGGATCACTATTGGGTTAGTATTGGGTTACTAACTGACCGAGAGTGAGGGCAGTATGGGAAAATATCCAACCTCGGTCTTGCTGTATTGGCGGAGCGATAGCGAGGTCAATACAGCAAGATCGAGGTTGGATATTTTCCCGTACTGCCCGAACGGTTGAGGTCAGTAAGTTTTTTATTATATGGCATTGTACGTTTGTAAAAAAATGGGAAAAAGGTCACACGAGGGCAAAGTACAAAGTCCGAAACATTTGCGAAAAAAAGTAAAAAACAATTGTAAAAAATGTTCTCTTGGACTTGGTTAATAGTATACTTACAGTACTCTACAGCCCTTTTTATGTAGAATACTGACACAGTTTGGATAGTATTTCAAGAAAAATACGAGGTATTTCGTCATTTAATCAAAGACAGCAGATATGAAAACAATAAAATGAATAAACAGTATGGACAAGTACGTTTTTAGTAGACTTGTTTTTAGTTTGCTTCATCTCATATTTATGTCTCTTGTTATCTAACAAAAACAGAAATTTTCAAGGAAAAAATATAAATCTGTGGCTGCTTTAGTTGTATTTTTCATTTACGACGATGTTGAATTCCTCCTGGACAGTCTTCGCAAAGTCAAAACACAACTATTCGTGGCTGCTTTAATATTTATAAACATTGTAAAATTCACCTTGTAATTTCGAGTTTCGCTAACAAAAACATATTAAGAAAGATCTTTAAATTAACCACAGAAGGTGCTCCTTTTCTTTAGTTTAGGTATATTTTTCTTCGTTTTGAAGACACTTTTTGCCGTTTAATTGAAACTCGCCTCTCGTCGCGGGGCAATAAAAATTGCGTATTGCCCGTGGGCAATGCGGGGAAAATTCTGCCTAGTCAGCAGCGAATCAAATTGCGCGATTCATCAAAACAAATGCTTGCCTTATAATTAATATATGTTATTTACCGTTGGAGGTTCGTATAGAGAAATATTTCTCGAGGTCTTAAAAACGGCCCGAGGCCGAAGGCCAAGGAACGTTTTTAAGACCGAGGAAAATATTTCTCTATGCGGACCGACCATACCGGAATATTATATTTTTATTTTTTTAGTTCTCGCCCTCTGAATTTCCCCAAACTCCCCTCCCGCACGCGAATGAAGTTGCCAAATAAGGCAGTCGCCTGACATGCTTATTTAAAAAATTCAAGCAATTTTCAAGCGAACAAAAGTCGTTTAAATATATAAATATCCAATGGAAGCCTTTATTATAAAGGAATGAAATCTAACAGAAAAACCTCATAAAGGTTATATTTAGACCGAGTCATAAGATTGACATTTAATTAATTTAATTTAAGAGCTGGGCATTTAATTCTTGGTAGGCCTATGTTTTCAAGTCTCTTGTCTCGTATATTGATTCAAAGTACCTATTAATTCACTTTCACTGTGTTATTCATCGTTTGCAGATATTTTAATATTTTAAAAAGTAGCCTTTAAACTCGTCTTTAAATTCTTAAAAATAGAAACATTGGCTCTATACGGCTTTAAATCTTGCGCGGTCCGTACGGGCTAATACGAACCACTCGCGTAGCCAATATCAGATTGCAGAAAAGCGTAAAATGGTGAAAATAATATTTTACGAGTGGTGAAAATAATATTTTACGAACGAGCGCAGCGAGTGAGTAAAATATTGTTTTTAACACGAGAAGATAAAAGTCATGGGCTATCTTCAAGCCACCGTGTAATGTTCTGTTTATTTATAACAATTATAGACAACAAAGCCGAGTTGTCTATGAGCGAATAGTCAACGAGGCGAAGCCGAGTTGACTATTCGTTCAGGGACAACGAGGCTGCGAGTTGTCTAATTGTTTCAGTATAAACCACAAACGGAATTTTTCACTTGATTTTTATGTAAAATAATAACGTTTTAACAAAATGAGCGTTTAAATGGCTTCCTTTGGCGACATTTTGCTTGCGGCAGTTGTTGACAACTACTCAGTGTTGCCAGCTCCCAAGAATGACTTGAAAAATACAACTTGCGAGTTTTTAAAAAAGATAAAAAACATGTCGTAAAACAGAATAATAGTAAGAGACCGTCATAGAAGCAAAGTTTGGTTAATTAAAAGAATTAAAAAGTCCAAATTTCCGAACACAAAATGGCTTCCTGAATTGTTGTAAATAAATTAAGTTTACGTTAAAAAGCCGAATAAATAAAAGAATCCGATTATCCGCCGAATGAAAGAGACAAACCGTTTCCTTAGCCTATTATACATAGACAATAGTTTAGATTCAAATTTAATCGAAAAAATATATTTTAAAAAATCGCCTGACACTTTCGTGCTCAAAACAACGAGCAAAGTAGTGAGAAAACTGTCAGCAGTTTCCAAGGCAAGAGTCTTTGTTTGTGTGTAATCCAGAACCAAATTTAGGCCATTTTGATAAGCTTTTTCCCTTTAAATGCAGCTTTTAATACTTAAAAAAAGATGATGTCCACTCCTGTACACATGCGCGAACTTTGTTTATGTTTTGAACTGCTATATTTGTAAAATATGATATACTAACTGAATATCTTTCACTTTTCTGGTTCGCTATGCTTGTAAATGAATATAAACTCTACATTTCAATTCAAAAAAGTTTGAAAGATGCAAAATTTGGGCAATGTTTATATCTGGGGGTCCCCATTTGTTATCAACAGAACTGATGCGCAGAACGGAGTGGAAATCATCTCTAAAAACGGTCATTGACTCTCGCGCCCTTCGTCGCTAGCTGCTACTAGTAGGCTATCACTAATAAGCCTACTAGTAGCGTAGCCAATCAGAACGCATGATTCATGATAGCCTACTTGTAGGTTTATACTAATAATATATAGTCCCAAGCAAAAAATAGTGAAATTTCAGAAGCAAATTGGAGAAAGTCACGTGATCGATATCTTCATTAGTGAAGATATGGAAAATATCTCACAGACTGTGCATTTTTTAGTATCCACTCTCTACTATATAATAAACGATAATATCAAATCACGGTCTATAAACATAATTATGCATGATGGTCTGGAAACTATCTAAACATAAGTCATTGTATTATTTTTTTCTGAGTTCATGCTAAATTGTGCGCGGTATAGTGATTGAGCTCATTGTATTTCCGTTTAATGAAGTAAACACATGGTAACAGGGACGTTTAATCACGTATTTCCTCATTACCCATGCATACGCTTTTGTCTTCTTAAAAACAAAAGATTTCTTTGTCTTCTAATTTTCCTCGGCATACTTGATGAGGGAAATTTAGAAGACAAAAGCGTACCTCATTACCTCTCATTGGAGATCTGTACCTTATCGAAATCATCGGCACAACTATGGACAGTATCTGACGACACTGTCCCGTACACATTCGAACAATCACTTTGCCAGTTTTTATTCCGCTATCTTGAACATTTCAACTGTGGGAGAATATTCGGTTTATGCGCATGCCTGAAAAGAATTGCCACGGAGATGTGTTTCTGCGCGTGCGTATATATGAAAGGTGTTCATCCCACAATCATAAGACAATCAAACAGCATTACTAAACCTTCCTCGGTTTGCGGCGTCATTTAATCACTAATTTCCCTCAAAGCATGCGTTTACTTATAATAATCGTGAATAGGGATACCTGAGATGAAACGCGCGACCACGATGAAAAATAATTAATTTAATGAAATTGAGACAAAGGGTTTGTGCACGGGTAGGTACAGTTCAACATCAAACAAAGGTCTTCTATTTTGTTGCTTTGAAGATTGCCAGATTCTAGACCATTGTATCTTGACATACTCTGCTCAAATACATGCATGAAGTAATTAATGAGCGGTAAAGAAAGGTATACGTCTTTAAATTCTACAGGTGTCTACAGAAGAACGCGGGCCCCAGAGCACAACGTGTATACGTACACATTGAAAAAGACATTTAAGAATGATATTTACCTCAGAGCTGACAGACCGAAGGAAATTAAGCAGCTTACGTTGTGTGTCTGGGTATACATTGATAGCAGCAGTAGTAGTGGTGCAACTGTCGTATTATTTGGCAGAAAGCTGCAAGTCAAGATATATCTCAGAGAGGACTTTAAATTTGGTGTGAGTTTTTTCGATTGGAATAGGTATGTGCAATTTGGTAAATATCAGGATTTGGAGCATCACGATATAACTAATTGTTGAAGGGATCTGCAGATAGAAATTTCGAGTGGAACTTTTGTGCATTTATTATAGACCTAACCAGGAGCAGTTGCGAAAAATGGCAGGAATCAACCTGCAGCACCACGATCCGGCGCAGCGCTCTAACTAACTGAGCTACAGAAAGACAGCTGTGGAGCGGCTAATTACAAGGTCATGTGTTCATAAACATTCCACTCGAAATTTCCATCCACAACTATCTACAAATCCTTTCAAGAAAGTGCAATTTGGCTTCTATCGTGCATTTGGAATCCAAACTGGTTCGAGCAAAACTTCAGTTATAAACAGTGATAATTGTCAATAATTGCAGGCAACTATTATTACCGTATTGTTTTATTTTTACAGCTTTCCCTGCGAGTGTGAAATCTTAGGCTTAGATAGTTAAATGAGTTCAATTCGTTTTCAGCACCACAAACGCATCTGTTTCCTTTGATTCTTGGCAGCATCTTTGCTTTACTATTGACACTCGCACGAACTTGTGGAAATTTTACAAGGATGGACTGTTAACATATATTGCTTTATCAACTATACCAAAGTTTTCTCCTGATGCCCTCGATGCGGAAGATAATAAAGTGTTTTTGGGTCGAAATCCAAAGGAGGCAAGTAGTCAATTTGTAATGATGATTATATTTACAATAAATAGATGAATCAATAAATCAGAGAAACTGTTAATAAATTATAAATCCATCATCCTTTAATCTTTCAATCTATCATCCAATCGATCATTGATACAAATTACAATACTACCCTGAACTCTGAGGTTGATAAGTTGTTTGTGATATTACAGCACTTCGTGGGTTCGAAGTTTATTCTCAGATGCATTCCCAGGGCCGTACGTTGAACTATAAATAAACTGGAAGGCTAACTCAGGGGGAGGGGAAATTGAAGCCAGTGCATTTTAGTTTTTCTGAGTTATGAGCAGAAATACTCAACACTGGACGTTGGGCTACATATCAAATTGAAGCTATTGAAAAACGCTATTTGGTGTAGAAATTTCAAGACGTTAGCTAAAAGGAAAATATTGAAAAACTACAAACATAATTACCGATAATTTGCCGTTTTGCAGTTGTTTTTGTATTTTTTAAATATTTTTCTTTTCGCTGAAGTCTTGAAATTTCCACACCGAATAGCAATTTTCAATAGCTTCAATTTGATATATAGCCCAACGTTTGGGGTCAAGTATTTTTGCTCATAACTCAGAAAAACTATTTTGGCTTCATCAAATCATAGGCCTTCATCATAGGAGTTAGCCTTCCAGTTTATTTATAGTTCAATGGGGCCGTAACGTACTAACTTGGGTATTACGGCTGCGTGGGGGGGGTATGAGCTTATTCGTGCCCGACGGACATTTCAGGCGCTAAATTAATATTTTTTCCCCCAAATTGCTGGCGAGCGGGAGGGAGAAAAAAATTTTCGGACATACCATTATTCACTAACTTACCAAAATTTGTACAATTTTTATTTTTCTGTAACATCTTCGACAATTTATCGAAAATTTTCCTACAATTACTACTTTTAAAAATTATGTAAAATGTTTTGATGAATTACATATTTTTGGTCGACGAGCGTGTTGTTACACACCCCCAGGTCTAGGAGTTACGCTCCTGTGCATTCCCCAATTGGTCCATTTCCGAGAGGGAGTATAATAATCGGTCGCTTCACCCGTGACACTTGAAAATTCTAAATTCTAAACTATACGAAAGCAACAAAGCTATAGTATGCCAGCCTCAAGCCTAGGTTGCAGAAATGCGACAAATTACAACATAGCCGCCAAGAATCAAATGCTAAAATGTTATTTAAAATGTTAAATTCAGGTTGTTTCGAAGATTGGAATAGGCTTGTAACCTTAACCAACGTAGTTTTGGCAGCCTTTAGAATTGATATGTAAAAAAGCCGACTTTCATTTTGATAGACAGGAAATGATTTATTAGGGTTCCATGAACATTAATTGACTCCAGAAAGAACACAAATCTTCAATATTGATATGTTATAGACAAAATGTTTGTTTGGTCGCTGCACTAACCCCAAACAGCTTCAAGGAAAGATGACGAAACCCATCATGTGGTCAAGCATTGTAGATGCACATGAAATCGCAATTCTCGCTGCTGGTTGCGGAATCTTCAGCGCCTCAGGAGACATTGAAGTTTCTCAGGATTACCAAGTAAATCTAGAAAACCGCCAAGTAGATCATGGCGAGTGCACTGGGGGAAAGGGTTAGTATATTTTTGTTTCATGTTTAATCTGAATTTCAGCGTAAGTATCCATCATTAATACATTTCGTAGTTTTCGTACAAAATGCGCATCATTGGTTCTAGCGATTTCATTCTTTGTATATATTGGAAAATTAATTCAACGAATGTTTACTTAGGTTTCAGACTTCGTTGTCGCAATGACAACAACACTTCATCTATCCCTTCCATATCAACTTTGATTTCACCTTGGATGAGATCATCTCTCGACAGAGTTCGTGGTGCATGTATGAATTTCACTTACCGCTTATTGGGGCATGATTCACAAATGAATATTTGGATTGAACCGAGAAATATTAACAAGGAACGTCTGTGGTCGGTTAAAAGTTCGAGAAAGTATAATCTTTGGAAATATGGTCGAGTTTTTCTGGGAGTTGTTTCAGAATTTCGGGTATGTTAATTGTGATGTTCTTTACCATTAATATTTTTTAGTTGCAATTTTTATTGCAATTAAGGGAAAGTACATTTATTATGCCGAGGGGGGATGAAGATGTTAGGTGGGGATGGCACCGAAGTATTTTCTGGTATTAAAGGGGGCTCTGAAAGTTCTCGATATACAGAAGTGAGGTCTATAAACTTACGAAAGTATCTAAATAGTACAAAAATAGTTTAGTTTGCACCCCAGGTAATTATAGATATTAGTTACGTCAAATGGAGAAATAATGAGCATTTTTGCTGTAAAACGCAGATAAGTAGATATCATTTTGGACTTGTGTAAAAGTGTCAATTATCTGTCCATTAGGCAAGATAAATTATTTGTCAAACTGTCAAAGTTGGATGATAGCCTTGCATGGTGAGCTGTTTTGTTTATATTATTGAAAGTCCAGGGCTGGTTCTTCATTGAGCTTGAATGTGTGCATGCTTAGGGCGTTTCTGTCAATTATTCTTTGGTATATTTCGCGCGGTCGAGTAATTATAACATTACGGCATCAAAATCTTGGTTCAATAAGATTGTAAGTGAATTTAGTTTAGTAGGTAAAGTAAGGTTCACATAGGTATAGTTTGAAGATTTTACTATGATATTTTGATAAGTATTTGCAGTTGTGAACATATTTTAACATTGATCGGTTGAACAGCGAACCGACTCGACCAGTGCGACAACGCCTTAAATAAACAGAATGTGAGAGCTGGAACGAGCTAGCAACGCCATTCCACACTTTTATAACTCAACGTTCATTGGCTGGATCACGTGTACAAAGATCCCCTCAACCGTTAGTATAAAAGGGCGTGCACAACCCAAATTCGTCAGTGGACTCAACGAAGTAAAAATTATGTATGAAAAGTTGTAGAAAGCTCAAAACGAAACAATACAAAACGACAAGAAAACGAACTGTAAACAAGGAAGAAAGGCTGCAGAAAGAACAGAACTTTGAAGCAGAACTATTTCAATATTAACATTAGTGACAATAATTAGAAACACTGTAACGATTCCCTACCTCGCGTATAGAAAAATAAATCATTTCTAACAAACTATTCAAAGTTTTATTCCAGCAGGGGCCTGGAGTGCTCACTCCCACCAGCATGGACACTTTCATAATATATTTTGTATTTAATGTATAGACCACAGTAAGACGTTTTTAATTAATGTTTTTATTACATCAATATACGAAGTTTCAGAGATTTACTCCATCTTCAGGTTGGATAAGATTACAATTCATACTTTCATAATGCTTTGGCAGAATAGCTCTCACTTTTCACTTTCATTGTTTTAAAAGAACAATGTCGATGAGCAAACCACTTTTCTAACACTGCAACTATGTATTTTGTCTATTAGAGGCACTACCGCATGGGGGAGCTCCACACGGAATACGTAATTTAAGAAGGCTGCAGTTACGCCTGTCAAAATGCATGCAAAAGCACCAATATGCTTCAACTTTTTAAATTTTCATCCTGTTTCTACCAAATCTTCCATCAATATCGAACATATCATTTTTACAAATTGTATGCTTTTTGCAGTTGGAATTGCTCCTTTTTGGCGGGTAAATTGCATCACAAACTTGGCGCCAAAAAATTAAAAATAAGCTATTGGTGATTTTATAAATCCATATAGAAGAGCAGACTAAGGGTACTTTAAAACTGAAATCTGTTTCGAAATACGACCATCTTATGGGAAGATAAAGCGATACAAATGTCGAAAAGTCCGCCATATTGTTATTAAAAATAGAAAAAAATGGCGGAGTTTTTAGAAATTTAAGTCATTATATCTTCGCAAGGAATGGTTGTATTTCGAAACCGATTTCAGTTTTAAGATACTCTTAGCCTGTCCTTCTAAATAGATACACGAAATTGCCTATAGCTTATTTTTAAATTTTTGGCGATAAAGTTTGTGACGTGTTTACCCGCCAAAAAGTAGTAGTTCCAAAACAAAAAAACATACGATTTGTAAGAATGATATGTTCTATGTTCATGGAAAATTTAGTAGAAACAGGATAAAAATTAAAGAATTTGAGGTATGCTGGCGCTTTTGCATGCATTTTTGACAGGCATGCAAAGAAATTTGCAACACATGCCAGGAGATACGTTGGGTGGGGGCGAGGTTCTCTAGAGTTTCAGCGCAGGATTTCAGCCCTGCATGATCCAGGAAACCCGGCCACTACATGAACGTGCTGAAGACTCCGACTACGCTGAATGATGGACAACAACAACCTGTTGATGATTTCGCCCCTAGAACCGATCTAAAACGGCTTGTACTCTTTCGATTCCGGATTCTGGGTGGCAGGGCATTGAAAATTACCAATAACGCCTACAGGAGCATTGTAAAAAGATGAGATTTTTTCAAGACATCTACATCCCCCTTCGGCGTAATAAATGTACTTTCTCTAAGCAGTATATTTTTATGGTTCTAATGTTTTCATCGCAGGTTCTTATAACAGCAAACTTATGGTCAAACACGAGTGAAGTCAACCTTGATAATATTTTCTTTACCGAAGGTTATTGCGCTCCTGGTCCACAAGACGCTCAAGGTAATGAAATATATCGTTCGCATCGTAAATTCAATTAAAATTAAAATCCAAAGCTACAATTATTGTTGCAGGACAAGCTAGATCGTCTTGTATTAAAAAAATATAGTATGCAGGGACGTAAGGAAGACTCCTTGGGGAGGGGTGTAGGGGTTCAAATTACCTGATTTTTAAATTACTTTTTACGATACCTAAAAGCAGTTTTTTAAATTCAGTGTGTTTTTTCAGGAGTACATTCAACTAGCAGGCGTTTCTTTCGAAGAAACATATTAGCACTATGGGATGCGGGGAGCCTAATCCACTAGATGATTTTGGAAAATGGCTCCCCCCCCCGAGGAAATTTAGATCCTTGCAAAGCCCGGAAATGCAACCAAAATTTGGCAATGTTACAGTAGCTTGCCTTCTCTTTTGACTTCTACGTTTGCCTGTGAATGCTGTTACAATTTATCTGAAAGTCTGCTTAAATCATTAAATTACTTAACAATTTACCTGAAATTACTCATGAACAAGCATTGGGGGCGGCGGTGTTCACCCTACACCCTCCCGGTCGCTACGTTGCAGATCATATGGGGATGGTGGAAGAGTAACAAATTAAATTCTTGAATCCTAATTAATCATGTTTTTTAGAATGGCATACGGATATATCAAACCGTTCCATTGGATACCTCACTTCACCGTACTATCCTTCATTGTACTTGAACAACATGAATCGTTCTTGGAAAATCGAAGTACCTACAGACCATCGCATTAAGCTGGAGGTTCTATTTCAAAATTTAGAATATGATAAACTTTGCAGCAAAGATTCATTAATTGTTAAACACGCATCCCTGACTCGAAAATTTATTTCCTATTGTGGGCTCACTTTGTCAATTGGTTATCTGTCCACGGGTAATATGGTGTATGTGGTGTTTCAATCGGATGAGTTTAATGTTGGGACAGGGTTTAAGATCCATTTCAAGGCGGTATCCGGTAAGCATCTTAATTGTGATAATCAATCTAAACAAGTTTAAATGGTGAGAATTAGAAAATTGGTATGTTTTCTTACAGCTGAATATATCAAAGATTCTTGTCAAGAAAACGATATTCCAGGTAAATCAGTCAATTCAGTAATTATAAATTTTATTCCGTCTCCTTATTAGTCTTATGAATACAATACAAACTGATATAACGATGTATTTCAGATTGTCCATCCACAATGCGATGTTCTCCAATCAGTTCTAACAAATCAAAAATATTTGTTGACGCTCAAGATTTATTGAAGATGCCGGAATACTTTCCAGCAAGAACAACTGCCATGTGAGAAATATGCATGGTTATGTATTTAAGTTTATTTAATTTGTTTATCATCCGATATATGCGTTGTTAACTTGTTTCATTGGTCTTCGCTCGAAAGATCTTCACTCCAAACCTCAAAGTTCGGCTTATATTTTACAGTTCGTTGTGTCTCTCTCACACACTGTAAAAATAGATTGGTTGAAATGACCAATTTAAATTGGTTATCTCAGACGCATTAATTTAACCAATTTTTTTGGTTAAAACAACCAAAAAAATTGTTTAAAACAACCAGTATTATGGTCGTCTGTTTTTACAGTGCATCGCAGCAAAATGTTATCGTCGCTATTCTTGGGTTTCACTACGGCATTATGCAGTGAATCTGACGGGGGTCAACCTCAAATGTATTGATGCTTATGCTGTGCCGGAGTGAAAATTTGATACGAAATTCCATGAATTTGCCACCAAAACACAAGGCTAATACATAAAATGAACAATCGACCCACTCTGATAACTGTGTTTTGTTTTAGTGTTGATCCCCCGTCACTTCTGTGACGTCATATGAAACCCTAGAATACAAACACCAGCGTTCGAGAGTGTTCCAGCGATTATTGAAAATTCTGTTCGTTACCATTTTCTGTAGAAATTTTGATGGGAATTCTTTGGCGAGATTAACTTCAGCTAACTTCGTCAACCTTATGCAGTTGGAGTACTTGTAAGCCTCATGCCATTAATTAATCTCCATTGACTTGTTTCCATTCTACCGTATCTTCCCTCTTTCTATTTTCACTTGTATAGAAGCATTAGCAACAACAAGATAATTGATATCGACACTAAGGCGTTTTCTTACTTGACATCTTTAAAAATACTGTAAGTAGTAAGAATTTAGATTTTCTGATTCATTTTCATTCTTCTGCATTGAAATGGATCTTATTCAGTCGTCTATGCATGGCTTTTCAAAAATATTTTTATTCCATATTTTCACAGACGTTTACCCTCGAATTTTCTTGATCGTCTTCCGAAAACTATTTTTCATCAAGTGAATTTTCTGGAAGTGCTGTGAGTTTTTATTATATATAAAATTGTTGTTAGAAGTATCTAATAATTTGAAAACATTTAATTATAATTATATACTTTTTATTTGAGGTAATTTTATTTTTTTTTTCTTCCATGGATTTTTTCATTCCATTATTTTATTTTCATATTAATTTTATTTAGAGATTTGAGTATGAACAGAATCCATAACTTGGGTAATGAATTGTTTGTTGGTTTGAAACGTTTGCGATTGTTGTAAGTGTAAAGTTATTCTTTGAATAATTATTAGCTTATTCAGTCGCGGAACTTTGTTCTAAAGTGCTGCCGGCTTAAACCGAAGACGGGGGGGAAGCCTTCGCCAAGACTGTGTAAAATTTGCGGAATTACTTAGCTTCGCAAGACATTCTCTTTGGTTATTTTTTTTCTCATTTCAATCTAGGAGCCTTCGTAAGAATTTCATTACGTCTTTGGAAGATTCCGTTTTTGCTAGTCTGGACAATCTTCAATACTTGTAAGACGATTTTAATATTCCAATTAAAACAAATCTTTCTCTAGATGATGCTTGTGATGTTACTCTGAGTGTATACAGTATATCCACACCGGGCAGGCTTGAAAAATATGCCTGGCCACGGTGGAAATCGAACCTACGACCTTTGGAATACTAGCCCAATGCTCTGCAAACCAGGGTGTTAGCCAGGCGGCCGTCCGACCGTCCTACGGACGGCCACTTCCGAATTTGGACGCCTAAATTTTAATGGACGGCCATGGACGGCCTAAGGGAATATTTTCTTTAAATAGCAATTTACAAGCTTTGTAATATTTCTTGAATACTTCGAATTGTTGTCATCTGCTGTTTACTTTACTTATGGTATATGTTTTCATACTTTTCCCCTCGAAATCCCGTTGAATACGGCTGAATTGAAGTACCGACAAACGCGCCATGTTTCTGTAACCATGTTGATGATTCTCACATGAAGTATCAAGGAGAATAATTTGAAACAAGGCAGCACGCCAGAACTATTTGTGTAAATTTATACTAGCCTTTTAATTTAATACATGTAAATGTTTTCAATTTTCAGCCATTTTGGATGTTGAAAGCGGTATATATTATTAGCTTATCGCAGGCGCAATAATTTATGTTCATCTTTGACATTAATTTATGTTACACGATGATACTCCGAAGGGCGACCGAGAAAGATCCGAAATTTAAAATTTCTCCGCCGTATTTTAAATTTCGGATCTTCCTCGGTCGCCCTTCGGAGTATCATCGTGTAACATAAATTAATGTCAAAGATGAACATAAATTATTGCGCCTGCGATAAGCTAATAACATAATATATACCGCTTTCAACATTCAAAATGGCGCCCGATGAAAATTGAAAACATTTACATGTATTAAATTAAAAGGTTAGTATAAATTTACACAAATATTTCTGGCGTGCTCCCTTGTTTGAAACCGCAGTTTTAAAAAACAGCAATCGCTTTATCGCTCGAGCACCACGTGCTTTATAGTTACAGTTACGGTAAAGATCGAGGTAAAGATGGCTTTAAAATGAGCCAAACACATAAAAAAGGGGGAAAATATCGGCGATTAACTTAACACTACACCGCTGTGTTATGTTCTCATTATATACTGTACATCGTAGTGATCATATACGGTTCATACCATATGTGTGGTTTTACTATGAATAACTGAAATGTGCATCTAAAACTAAAAGTAAAAAGGTTCAACGAATAGAACACCACAATTCCACAACAATAAAAAATTGCGGCCACGCCCAAACACATGTGACCACGCCCACAAAATTATTTTGGACGGCCACTTTTGAAATCCTGGCTAACACCCTGCTGCCAACTGAGCTATACGCGGTCAGATCGGTTCGAGTATGTGATATTCCGGAACTGAGTCTAGTTCCTTCGATATCAGTGTAATCTTATAATCATGTTTTTGCTGTGTTGGTGTAATGTACTCAGGTGAATAAGATGCTTGTGATGTTACTCTGAGTGTACTGTATATCCACACCGGGCAAGCTTGAGAAATATGCCTGGCCACGGTGGGAATCGAACCTACGACCTTTGGAATACTAGCTCATGCAATGCTCTGCCAACTGAGCTACGCGGTCAGGTCCGGTTCGAGCATGCGATATTTCGGAACTGAGTCTAGTTACTTCCATATTATTGTATCAGCCATGCATCATTAGATTATCCGACACTTTTATCAGGATTACAAAGTCTTAATTAAGCTGTATATCCATGCAGCGTAGAATATCATCAGGCTAACAAATTTTTATCTCTCTACGTCTACAATTTGCCTTTTGCAGTTTCAGTAACAATGTTTGCATCGTTTTGTTTAAATTAAATCGATAAATGGCAATTTTCTATAGAAACGTTGAGTAAAGATGGCATACGGTCAGGAAGAAGAAAGAAAAACGCATATATAAAAAAAATTGATAAAGATTTTTCCAATTTTTCTTTAGATATCTTGACGAAAATGATTTATCCATTTTGGGAAGTAACGTGTTTAGTGGAAACTTAAAGCTCAAAGTTTTGTGCGTTTTAATTTATCACGTGCAATTTTTGAAATAACTAAATTTGCGCCTTTGTTCAAAGAACTTACAATTTATACCGTCATTTTTCAGGATTTTGAAAAACAACGAACTAGAAATGGTTAAGGTGTCATGGTTAAAGGGAAAACACTTTCTTCAAATCTTGTAAGTTAGTTTTTAATTGGTTAACTAAAGTCCCGGTCAAACGAGGATGAGAGTTGAGTGAGAGTTGCAGGCAGCCACGCATATACATTTCAAGCTCTAGATTAACAAAATAAAGGTTCCGTGAGTGCTCCAACTATGTGTTAACGTAAATAGAACACATGATGAGTGATAAATGCTGGGCAAGCATTAAGAACAGCTAACCAATTAGGTGGCATGACTGCCAACTCTTATGCACTCTCATCCTCGTTTGAGCCAGGCTTATAAGAATGTTTAAGATAACGGTTTACGAAATGAATGCCGAACAATTAAGGTTGGAGTAATATAAATTATATTATAAAATAATAATACTAATAATCAAGGTCATATATTTTCATACAATTCTTTTATATTATACCAAATATTGATTCCCCCATCTCTAGAGAACTGCAAGATAATAATATTAAGGAAATTGAAACTGGAGCCTTCAATGACTTGGAAAATTTGGTTGAGTTGTAAGTACCAATAGTTTACTGATAATTTCATCATGATGTTCCCTGCATGTTCTTAACATAACTTTCTTCTTTAGGGACATATCAAACAACAAAATTCAAATTATTCCAGAAAATTTATTTCAGAATCTGGTGTCGCTTCGTAACTTGTAAGTGACAATTAATGTTCTGACTTAGTTTTAGTTCATTGACTTCAATCCTGAAGCATTTTTGAGTATTATACTGAAAAGGTTATATACTGAACCATTATTATAAACCGCGCGATACAGAGCATGCGCGGTTTAAAGAAGATAATGGTAATCACAAATATTAAGGAATTGCTCAACCAACAAACAAAACAAGTTTACCTGCAAAAAAATTACATTAATTTTGTTCACGTCTTGCTATTTTGCACCACAACAAATGGTCACTTCAAGGTATATTTGAAGTTTATCTTCGACCCAAATAATAACTTTTCAAATTAAATACAAACTTTAGTAATAAACTTGCCTTATGTCTCAATCAATTCCAAGGGTGCCCATCCCCCGCCCCCTCTCCCAGGCGTTTGTCGGGCATTTGTCATTTTGGCAAAAAAGTGTTGCAAATGCCCCACCATGGAGTCCAAATAATGCAACAAAATACCCATCCTTGGGGACTTGCATTGACGCCAATGTTTATAAGTTTTCTGAGGATTTTTAAACCAAAAAATCGAATGCAGGCCCTATCTCGTATCAATATATCTCTACTTCTGTCGCCATTTCGTTTCAAAAAGTTTTTAATTAAAATATTGAAGTCTCAAAACTTGATATGACAGTATCAAACTGCGGAAGTAAGTCAATGTATCAATATGGACAAGAAAAAAGTCTAAAGTGTGTATGCATGTCCGCCATGATTAATTTGCAATACGCATGGACGTGTAAATGTGCATGCGTTGCGTACCAAAGTACGGCTAAATGGCGAAACAAGCCACAAATATTTGCCTTTTTAGCCCTGAGCAAATTCCCAACCCCGGGGCTAACCTGCAGAAAGTAAATACTCAACCCTGGGAACAAGTACAGTTGAAAATGCCCGACAAACGCCGGGGAGGGGGGGAGGATGGGCACCAATTGAATTGATTGAGACATTACAAGTCGTTGGCGACTGAAAGAAAAATGACGAATTTTATTCCATTTTTGCATTATACAGACGTTGCAGAAGCGATGAACATAACGTCGTTTCTCGATTTGGAAATTTGAATTCCTTACTATACCTCATCATAGTATCTTTCCAAGTGCCATTTTGTTTTACTTTTCCGTTTATTAATTTAATTAATAATAATTTAATTTAATTTAATTATATACGTTTTTGAGAATTTTATATAAACAGGAGACGAATGAACCGAACGCCATGTTCTTGTTTTTGCTATAATAATTCTAATTTTGTCTTCGTGTAATAATTCGTCGTTGATGACATCAAAGTTGAACCTCAAAAGCAGAGCTTTCTGGCTTTGAATCATTTTATGTTGTATTGCATGTGCTATACCTAGCTAATTCGATGCCTTATAGCTCTGATAAAGAGCAAACGTTCATAAATTATACATATTTACTTCATATTCATTCACTATAACAAAAGACATGAGATTATCAATCTTATTATACCATAGTTAAAATTCAATTAGCTATGAACGAAACATTTTTCAAGCGAGAAACGGTTGATTAAAAATATTGCCGCCAGTTTGAGTGTGGGGACGCATGTTTTCGTGTCTTCACGTTCTGGCCGTGATTATAAAAAATTTCAGTAAAACACACTGAAATATAGTATTATGATCTAAATTGTCTATATCCAATGAAGTAGTCTGAGAGGGGCGCTCCCTCCCCGGTCAAAATTGGGCCCCTTTGGCAAATTCTGACCAGTACAAGCATGTTTGGATTCGTTTGTGTTTAAGTGGAGTTGTTAATGTTAAATCACCAAAACACGATAAAGTAGCCACTAAAATGCTTAAATTGGTATTTTTACTGACTAGTTTAGAATTTAAAATTTTTTGCGGGTGAGCATATCCTGGGACCCTCAAAACGTTCATTGTATTATTTTTCACATAATAAGCAAACTTTATTCGAACTAGCGCAGCCTCTCCTCGATTTTTTCGATCCGCCTTGACTAGAAATCCTGGCTACGTCACTAGCAATATCCTGCATGTGCAAAAATTCATTTGTGTAACATTTATTGTTTCTGAAATGATGAATTTTAAAAATGTAATATTTTGGTCTTCTTAGGAAAGTGGACCACTTTACGCTGTGCTGTTACGCGAAGCAGAACAACCCGGGTGTTTCATGCTTTTCCAAAGTTCAAGATGGATTTTCAAGTTGCGATGAGCTTTTGAAAAATCCTGTGCTTAAATATTCAATCTGGATTCTTGGTCTAATGGCGTTTTTTGGGAACGCGATTGTTATTGTATGGCGCTCATCTTCGAAAGACAACAATCGTGTTAGTTCGTTCCTTTTAACAAACCTTGCTGTTGCTGATTTTTTAATGGGAGTGTACATGTTGCTTATCGCTTACAAAGATAGAGTATGGGATGGAATCTACTTTAAACACGACATTTCGTGGCGTGCTAGTGATTTATGTGTATTCGCTGGAGTGATTTCAACTGCATCCAGTGAAGTTTCTGTATTAACGTTAACAGTCATCACACTTGAACGTATGATATGTATTGTATTTCCATTTAAATTCAGACGTTGGTCTATGAAGAAAGCTTCTGCAATCATGCTCGTTGTTTGGATTCTTGGACTTTGCATTTCGCTTGTACCTTTAACAAACGATGCATATTTCTACGATTATGAACACAATGTGCACTTCTTTGGCCGCTCGGCGGTCTGCCTACCACTCCAGTTATCAAGCGATCGCCCAGCTGGCTGGGAATATTCAGTATTCGTGTTTCTCGTCTTGAATGGCGTTTCGTTCCTTTTTATGCTGCTTGCCTACGTATTGATGTATCGCACGGTAATCAATGCTGCCCACGCTGTAAGATCCACGAGAGTAAACCAGGACTCAGCTATCGCCAAACGAATGATGTTTATAATTCTTACGGATTTTTTGTGTTGGTTTCCAGTGATCATTATTAGTATTCTGGCTTTAACAGAAAATTTATACGACCCTTCAAAACAAGTTTATGCTTGGATAGCCGTGTTTGTGTTGCCCATTAACAGTAGTATAAACCCACTTCTCTATACATTCTCAACTCCCTACGTTCGGAACAGGATTCCCACTGCAAATCCCTTCTCAACTTTATCTACGAACGTTAGAAGAAAAGAAATATTGCGGAAAGGTATTTCAAATTGGGTCAAAATATTTTTGTTGTCATTGTCGTTGTTGCTGTTTCTGTTATTCTTGTTGTTTCTGTTCTTGATGTTGTGTTTTTTTGTTTGTTGTTCTTGTTTTGTTCTTATGGTTATTGTTGAAATTTGGATTTTACTGTCGTTCCAATTGAAGTGTTGCTCAAATATTGATTCAATACATTACCTCTGGCTGACCAATTCATTTCATCAAGTTCCTCGAGATATTCATACACTTCCTGTGAAAGAGTCAATTCCAAGTATTTGATCATTTCTGGTCACTTCTTTTCTATTTATGATTGGTTAGTTGCACAAACAACAAAGGTGATTGGTGCATTCAAACTATTCAACAGGAAGTTTACAATTATACTAGGAAGTGTATGAATATCTCGAGGAACTTGATGAAATGAATTGGTCAGCCCGAGGTAATGTATTGAATCAATATTTGAGCAACACTTCAATTGGAACGACAGTAAGCTGAACGTATGTTGTATATTTTCTTGTAGTTTTTGTTCCAACCTTATTTGTACGATCTTGTAATAATGCTTCAGATTTTCATACTGTATAGTAGTGTAGTTACATTGAAATTAATATTTATGTAATTTTATTTTGTTTTATATCATAAATTTTATATTTACATTTAGTTTGGCGAAAAGGTTTTTCAGACGAAATACACAGTCCTGCCTCCATTCGTGATACAATCCAAACAGTTGCATCGCCTTTGCCGTCCCCTCAGTCAATTTGTAAAATGAAGTTAATTAATAGAGGGTACACTGCGGAAGAAAACATCGCTGAAAGTAGTTTTACCAAGTCATTGGTTACAAAAATGGATTATTTCATCAAATTAATGGAAGACACACGGAGTTTTGCAGACGGAGAACAAATAATAGTAAGAAACGATACTACGACTTGATCTAAACTTGGTTTGATTCGCATTACATTTTTTATAAAGGAGGTACAGGTGGGGACCACATTGTGGTTCCAATCTTAAAATCTACATGTCCAGCAGCTGTTGGTAGGATATTTTTATTTCGACACGAGTGACACGCACGATACTTTCAACGGAATGAATGACTTCCCTTTTCATTTAACATTTGTTTTGTAGCACTGGTGAAAATCCTGCCTTAGGACTTGAAAGCTTCGCAATCATATAGGTAATGTTTCCTACAAACCAAAATAATAAATGCATACTGTTTATTGTAAATTTCCCTTTAGAAATCATATGTAGCGGTTGAAATTGACAATAAAGAGACACCATGTCTTGTTCATATTTACAAAAGTGAACACGAAGGATTGTGGTGGAACACGACCAACATTCTCTCAAGGTTATCTTCAGATGGCGGCCATGAAAATATCTTGCCTTACATGTGGAGCGCTAGAGGTAAAGGTTGTTCACATTTTATGAAAACATTATTTGCGTATAATAAGCATGTTCTGCGAAAAAAAGTTTGAAAAAGATCAGCTTGATAATGTTTTCCTGCGTATGCATGTTAACAATGCCCTTCATTTTATGTAAATCAATTAAACGGTTTTCATTTTTGTCTTCTGTAGCGAAGAAAGTACATGTGGAAAGACAGGAATCTTTTACAATGACCGTGTTCGATCTGGAACCAGATGACTGGTATATATGATTAATATGAATAGCTTTGCTAGTTCTATCCTTCTACAATAATGTAAAAATGGGGGTTACTCATCTCGGCTCATCGGTACAGAATGATGAAAAGGAAATATCAGTGCATATATCAGGGAATATAGAAATGCAGTGTTTTCTTAATATGGCAGGAGGCCATAGGCTCGCATGCCAGGTGCATGGAAACTAATTTATTGGACAACTGAAGTGATTCGAAAGTGATGACAGGAAGTTTCCTATCACATGCTTCCAGTTGAAAGCTTTAATATCAATTACATGCCGGTGTAATGCATTTAAGGAATGTGAATTATCAAAAATACGCTTTTTAAATTACAACTTATTTTCGTCTGTTTCTATATCAATAGGCGTTTTACATGGAAGAAACCATAGATATCTTATATACACTAGACAGTGCATCTAATTATTCTGCAATTCAAAAATTGAAGCCGTGATCGCAGTCTCAGGTCGTTCCCATGAAATGAAAAGGTTCGTATATTTTCTATTTCTTAAACACGGAACTTAAACATTAAGTTAACCCTATTCCAAATACGTTTTTAAACTATTCAAATGATGAAAGTTATTGTTGTTTTTAAGCGCTTATTACCAAGTGGGAACGACCAACATGGCCGCCATCTATTCAAATGGGGGTAACCGCTGGAATATTCTTGGCTTCAATTTTACTAAAAGAGATGCGTTATCTAGTGTATATAAGATATCTATGGAAGAAACGAATAAGTTAACGACTCACACGCACTCTTTCTTTTTTCAGTCTTCATTTAACATTGCATAGAATTGCAGCTATTAATATATTTCAAAGTTTGCTAGTTCTTAGGAGGGAACAGCGTCTTAATAGCTTTTCTCCACATGGAGTAAGATGGTTGGTTATAAGAGGTTGGAAACAACTGTGAACGAAAATTAAGAAATTATTCGAGAACTACCGAATGATAAAACTTTCCCTTGTAATTTGTAGTTTGATTTGTTATGAACTACCTTCAAAGCAAACTCTTGCAAGTTATCTTCTGAAGAAGAAAGAGGAACTTACTGGAGAGATGATGTGCTTCATTTTAACCGATATAATGGAAGCAGTTAATTATCTTTCTTCCAAAGAAGTAATTCATGAGGCAATAGTACCTGAAAACATCTTTCTTTCCACATCCAATAAGGTAGGATGTTTCGATTTTCAGAGAGAATTGACTTCCCATTTTCTCGTAATGAGACACCTTTTGCTTTATAAATGATCTCGGCTTGAAGAATACAGTCATGTAAAAATACAAAATAATGATTTTCTACTCTGCATGTCAAGGTGTCTCGTAACCTTAATAATAATATACATAGAAATATTACTCGACTGTGATTGGTTGGTTTCAGTGCATTTAATCCCAAACAGCAGTGCAAAAATCTGTAACAACAGTGCAAAAATCTGTAACAACAGTGCAAAAATCTGTAACAAACTGATCTGATTGGTGGGAAAACATTGTGACGATAAAATCAACCAATCAGTTTAAAGAAGTAAACGGTCACAGATTGCTTCAAAACAAAACAAACATGGCGCCGCGCTACACAAAGTAAAAGTTGGTTTCGCATGGAAAATATGGCTTTTATCTTTATCTTTAAATGGAAAAGCACTTACCTTAAACAAGACTAACAAAAATTACATAGCTGATTGGAATTTTCAAGCTGTTAGCGTTGTATAATGTGATATAACAATGCCAGGAAAACTTTACCAGTGAAATCTTCGCTATAAACGCGTAAAATTAAAACTACAATTGTCTCGAACATTTTTATGTAAATTATTAATAAGTAATAGCATGGTTTCTCGTGAAATTTGGATAAACATGCACTCGTGAGTTTTTCAAAGACCTCAAATAGCACTCGTCCTTCGGACTCGTGCTACTGCGAGGTCTTTGAAAAACTCACTCGTGCATGTTATATCCAAATTGCACTCGAAACTATGCTATTACCTATACTAAAAGCATTGTAGCCGATATTTCCCTCATTCAAGTTAGACAAACTGGTCCGAGTTAGACATTATGTTCAACCATTAAGCTTACAATGTGAAACAATAACGACGACGCGCTAATTTCCCAATCGCGAGTTCAATACCATGTATTCAAAGGGAGTGTAAGTAAACTGGGTAGCCTTTATTGTAATCGACCCACGTTGGATCGCAAAAGTGGAACGGCGCTTGCAGTAAAACATCGGTTTCCGGACTAAACGCGCCATTCAATTTTTGAACATAAAATTCGATTCATTAACACGAAGGTTTAATTTCATCGATGTTCCGTATAGGCTCCAGTAGAAAAAGCTTTACTTGGAGGATTTCATGCACTACGAATTGTAACTCCGCCGATGGCGGAGAGTGCAGGATGTGACGAAGAACAGATCATGGACAAATTGGACTCCAATGTGAAGTCATTTGGTCGGCTTTTAAAGATTTTACTTGACGCCTGTCCTGCAATGGAGATATCTAATGAGGTAAGACTTACATTAAATTCATTTCCTACAATAAAGCAATGTTTGTACTGAGGTTTATAATGACCTCATAGTCATAACATCAACCCTGCTAAGACGCTCTTTGGGTATGCAGATATAAGATGAGTGACACCTTATATTGGAACCCCGGATTAATTACTTTATGTGAAGCTTTATTTAAGTGAAAATGTTCAATTCTTTTAATTGGAAGTAAAGTAGTTTAAATGGTATGCATCGCAGTGGAGTTACTCCTTTGGGCGCCGCCCAATTTCTTTCAGTAGACAGTCGGACACCTCCAGGGACGTAGCGAAGCATCTGAAGTTAAGAGGTTGTCGGAGGATCTTACCTGAAGTTTGAACTTCAATGTTAAAATTGTACCTAAAGTGTAACAGTTATAATAAAGCTTTTTCTGATTTATTTGCACTGTCATATTAAGTTTGCGAAGAAAAGGGGGTCTGGGGGTCCTCCCACAGAAAATTTTAAATCAGTATTAAAGCTCCACGACTGCATTCCTGCAGGCGTTTTCCGAAACAAATTTGCAAAACATTTTATCTAAATTGAGTGTACGTATTTTACAAAAATGGTTATCTTTTCACAAAAATAACGACTTTATTACGCAAATTTTACCTGGAAATGTCAAAATTGAAACTTGAATTTTACCTGAGTTTCACAGTTGGGGGTGGTTTACACCCCCCCTCCCACCCCCATCCAACACCCCCCGGTCTCTACGTCCCTGGACACCTCATTGATAGTCGGACGCATCATTGATCGGCTTCCAATTCATGCTACGCGCGTTACCGCCAAATTCAATATGGCGCCAAGTTAAGGAGTGGAGTTTTTATTTTATGTTTTCTAGTACGTGTTGCCTTTTTTTTTGGGGGGGGAGGGGGAGGGGGGCAGAGGGTCGAAGTCGATCTTAGTCCCAGAGCATGGATGAAAAAATGCCGAAGTCGATGAGCGAAGTCGAGTGAGCGATTGTCACAGGGTTCCAGACGTAGACAAAATAATGCTCCAATCATGATTACATAAAACCAGAATATCTGTGTTTGTTAACGTCTATGTAGTGTTTTGTTTATGAATGCGTGTAGGCTGAAATACAGTTCACAGCCAATATACCTGAGAACCAGAAAGTTCTTTTCAGTTTAAAGCCAGGGACCTGTCAGCCCAAATTGATGTCACTATAATGGGGATATATTTATATCCGTTTTTCTCCGTCTATAAAACTGTTATTTCATATATAAGAAACACATAATTGTTTAGGAAATATGTAAAACATAATTGTTTCTTGACCTATACATAGATTTTCATTTGCTCTTGTGAATTAAATTGGCTGCTGACGAGGCAGGATTTTCTCGTATTGCCCATGGGCAATACACATTTTTTATTGCCCTACGAAGCTGCGACCAGAGCCGAGTTTCAAACGGTAAAAAAGTATCTAAAAGTCTTTCAAACTATTCAAAACGAAGAAAAATAGACCTAAAATAGAGAAAAAGAGCAATTGCTAGCTGTGGTTAAAGAACTTTCTCAAAACTTTTTGTTAGTAGTTTTCTTGAACTACTATCCAAACTGTGTTAGGATTCTAGAAAAGTGTTGTAAAGTAGTTTTACTAATAACCAAGAGAACATTTTTTTACAATTTTTTTTGAAAATGTTTCTTGTTGCAACAAGTTTTGCGTAAAGTAGAATGAAATTCTATTTTTCGCAAGCATTGCACAGTCGAAATGTAAAACCTGTGATTTTGTAGATTCTACCACTATTGTTTCGGCACCTAAATCCGTTTTTCACATCAAGCACCATTTCACGTGCGCCTCCTCCCATCTCATCTACTGCATCTCTTGCAGCAGATGTGGCATGCTTTACATTGGGGAAACTGGAAGATGTTTAAGGACAAGGTTTGGTGAGCATCGGCGTGCAGTTATTGGCAATGATGCTAACTAACCTGTTGCCAGACATTTTAATAATGGCAATCACAGTGTTTCAGATATGGTAATTCGAGCCCTCTGTCCCATTTCTGGAAGCAACGATAGCCACAAAGACATGAAATGCGCCTCATATCCAAACTTGACACTGTTCACCCTTCTGGTATTAATGAACGCTTTTCCTATATTTAATTCCTTCTGTCCTTGCCTGTCTATAGCAGACATAGACAACATTTATCTATTTATTAATTTTACCTTATTCCCACTTTTGTTTTTATTTTTTATTTTTTATTATTTGTAGTAATTGGCTTAGCTTCTTGTTTACTTTTATATTTTATTTTGTTATAAATATATTTTTATATATTTTATATTTTTTAATTTATTTATTTATTTAATTTTTTTATTATATTATATTCTGTAATGCGATTTACATATTTTGTTTACACTTTGTTAGGATTAAATCCATCTAATTGGTTTATTTTTTGTCACGTGATGCTTTCATACTCTTAGTATAAAAGCCCGTGCATTTTCTCCGATCCCTGCTACTAACTCTTGACGAAGGGCCTTCGCTCGAAACGTCGAGTTTCTGCTTATGTTTTAAGGTAGTAATATAACCACTCAGCACATCATTTTCACATTGATACTACCCACACTGCTACAGACATTTTTAGTATAACATTTTTGTCTACTTGTCTCGCAATATTTACTCTCTGACAAGCTTCCTATTGGCTCTTGACTGAAAATTTGGCGCCACACGTTTGCACTCACGATTATATTCTTATGCTATTCTTAATCATGATCATTACAAGTTGCATGAAAAATGTAACATCGCTTGAATTACAATGCTGAAATCGTTTTTCTTAACATTACGAGACAAGTAGGGAGACATAAATAACCCGAATCGCAGGATTTCAGTTAATTATTCTATCGTGATGAATAAGTGTATTTAAAACTAACCACACCCTTGAACAAACGCATTTTTTTTTTAAAGCGTGATTTTAATAAACGACTAAACTTCTGCAGGGTATTGTTCATTTGTTTAATATACTTGTAAATCAGCATCTTATTAAATTACAATAATTAATTTCTATTTTTCTTGGAAATCTAGTTATGCGATATCATGGCTTCGTGTTTGAGTGAGAACTGTGCAAACAGACCTACTACATTTGACCTATTAAGACGACTGGACGCTTTGATGCTTTGTGACCTCCCATCGAACGACGCTATCCTTTAAATGTTGGAAACGTATTTATTTGCTATATATTTCGGATATTATATTTTCAGATTACTATGTATAATAGAAATCTTTAATTTACGACTAAGTATAACGATCAATGCATGAAACTGTTGTATTCGATACAATTTATTGTATTGTATTTTATTTCATTTTTGCACACTTCATATTGCGGGAATAATTTGCAACTTTTACTAACTAGAATAATTTTCGTTTAAAATAATAATAAATTCTCTGTTGTTAATTTAAAAAGGGCATAGATTGTGACCCAATAGACTAATTAACATAGTCGAGTTATAGACACAATTAGAAATGGGAAAAAAAACTTTAAACTTTAAACTATTATGGTAAAACTATAACTTTAAAAAGGCTATAAGCATGCTATTCAATGGCTATACAAATAGACCTTAGAAGTGCTTACGTCACGCAATTTTTACTACATAGGACTTCAGGAAAGCGCAGCGCACGCATGCATTGTGGGATATCTATACTGGGTCACGTAACGTAAACTCTAACCCTACCTTATACAATGTCCATCGTAGCAGTTAATGCACTGTAAAAAATATTATTTAATTTCATCATTCAGGCCATCCCAGGAAGGAAAAGGTTGGTGTAAATCGCACGCCATGGGTTTGTTAGGGGTGTGATTATTTTTGCCATTAATTCCAAATGGCATAAAATTCAGAAATCCGCATAGTCCTTTGAAAGCCATTGATTTGCTGGGCTCGAACGTAACGCGGTATGAGGTTAATGGAAGTGCGGAAGATGGAAGTGACGTAATTCAATTCTATCGCCATGGCGAGGCTTGTTATGGTTTCACAAATCTAAAATATTTTCTACAGTTTGATTTTTGTGTCGGGCTTTAAGACTGAGTCATTTATGCTTCATAATTTTTATTGTAATATTTTTCATTGCCACTAAATCGAGGCGTGCGATAAATCGCAGTTGTAATTGATAAGTGTAATTTCCTAATAATATCATTTTCGTCAATTGTATACGCTATAGTAGTGAATGTCAAGAAACATTGTATTAATGCATTCATGATAGGGGGCACAGCAGTACAATATCCGCCTTTCTGAACAATTAATTAAGAGTATTTTCTGAATTTAATCAGTTCAATTCATAATGTAAAAACGGTCAATAATTTTTATTTCATCTATGTCTTCTTGAAGATAAATAAGAGCCCAGAAAATATACTTTTTAATTTAACATTGTTTATTTGAATTTTCTGCCAAACTTCTGCATTCGCATGCATGCATGGGCGTGGGCCCTCAGATGCTTCAAAAGTAAACATTAATCGGGATATCCTTAACCAATCAGAATAGAGTAAATCAGCTAATTAAAATGATATTGCTGGCATGTGAAATATAGTGCATGCATGAATGACATGTATGTATATATGTATGTGTATGAGTAGTGAATGTTTAGGTGTATACAGGGGCGGAGCTAGACCTGTTTGAATGGGGGGGTGGTGTAAGTGAGTTTTACTAGCGGCGGAACGACATCAAAAACATTTTTTCCCTATAACATATTTTTCAATCTTATTTTGTGTTTAACCATCGTTCTTCGCTCCTTTTCCCCCTAATTGTTTCGTAAATGTCTCCACATTTTAGCTATCATTCTTAATTTTTAATCGGTGTCCCTCAAATATTTCATTTTTTCTCGTCCTAGCCAAGTCCATATTTTGCCGACTGGGTTTCAATATTTTGCCGACTATACCTGATGACTGGGGGTGTGATACTTCTACCCCTTAACACCGGCCTTCGATGTATATCGTAAATTAAGGGAAATAGCAATAGAAAATAAGTTTCGCCCATTTGGAAGAAATAATTCAATAATTTCAAAACCTTTTTACAAATTTTCTCTATCGTTTTTGTTTTAAAAGATATTACACTTCACTTCACTTCAAACAAAATCATTATGCGTTCCGCCATCTTGAATATGCATATCGACATCGGATATGCGTGACTTCACAACCAAGATAACACTGTACATGTTTTGTATTTTGAGCAATTCCCAGGCCATTTTAATGCTAAATCCTATTTTTCACTATTGTATATTAATTAAAGTACCAGTTATGTATAAGCTTCCCTCTGATATTAGTTTTTAGTTTAAAATGTGTACCCTGGTTGTGACGTCGTTTAATTAGATCTACAGTAATTATAAAGATGGCGGATGGCAGGATGTTTTGCTTTCAAATATCTCAAAAATTACGATAGTTTGGGAGAATTGGTAAGAACGATTTGTAAATAATCTTAACATTAATTCTTTCAAGTTAGGCAAACATAAGTTATGTTGCCATCTTCCTCCAAGTTATTTAAACACCGAAATGTCCAACAACAATTGTCCTTAGAACTGCACATGGGTTTTCCCATTTCCATTTTTGTGTCTGTCTTTCCAGTCCCAGGAACACAAATCCCATTTTCCCAGTCCAACGCAAATCCTAGTTCCCATTTTACCCCTTCAGGATCCCCTTTAAGCGAGGCGTTGTTATAGTTATTTGATGTATATACTGTATATACATGCAGAGTTATGATAATTTTTATTGCATATTAAAATACTCGAGCGCTTGTGTCAATAAACTTTTAGCTCATTAGTTATATATCTCGTATTTTCAAAATGGCTGTATTTTTTATCAAAATTTCAATAGAACTATCAACTACTATATTAATGAATATTAATGCTTGGATGTTTTAAATAGGCTCTCGGCTATATCTCCTCGTGTTTTTCACGCTTCTCTCGTGTTCGTTTGTCGTTTCACTCCTTCATTATCTAACACTAGAATCACGCGACTCGATCGTTTTCTATTTCTTAAAATAAAGGAACATTTATTGATAATTTAACTGATCTTGTTAAAATTAATATTGACATACATTTTAAGTTCCAGCCGTGCGCCATTACATACAAAATACACATGCGTGACAAGTTTGTTCAGGTGTATATGTCATAAGTCATATCTTCAATTTTAAATTAATTTTTCTGATTGAAGCTCCACCACTTATACCTACATGCCAATCTTTGTGAATTATGCATGCAGCTATCTTTGTAAAGTTAGATGTCATTTCGTAGAACGTAAATATATGTGATAACCTCTAGCTATATTTCATTCCCGAAAGCTTATAAGCGCACACCTTTAATGTTCGGTACGAACCCACACGTCTTGCGCGCGAATAAATTAAGAGACACTTTAAGCGTTGTTTCACTTATTTGATGTAGAAAAAGTCATTTACTTAATATTAATAAATATTGACTTTAAAAATACTGAAGACCGCTTGCTTGTGTGAATAATTTTTTGCTCATTAGTTATGTATAGTCGGCTAAAATTCTGAAGACCTGCACAATAAATTAACGCTATTCTGTCGCTGATCTTTATTTGTGGTTGACACATGGAGTTATTTTTTGGTAACTGAATAAAGGTACTCGTATTAATTATTTAAAATATGTTTAAAGGTAAATTAGTTTGAAATAAATAGTTCTCGATCTTTACATTTTATCTAAAGATTCTTTGTCTAGAGATTACACTGTAATTTCTTTATTTAAATTTTGCAAATTTCAGCAGTCCGCAGCAGGCAGAAATTTCAATAGGCAGAGCTAGCATAGCAACAATAAAGTTTCTATCAACTGTTTCTTCTATATATTACAGATATCTTTCTGTCTTTTAGACAATGCGCTCTCCCGGAAGAGTTGTGATGTTTTATAGGTGCATTTCGTCCGTTTTCGTGCGTATAATGATATTATTTGTCTTAGTGGAAGAGCACCAGACAGAAAATTGCTTTCAAAGATATTTTGAAAAAAGATATCATGGTAATGTATAATATTATCATAATAAATTATTATATCCATGCATATATAGTCAGATATCTGCACAGAAACAATGGACGACTTGCGCTTTAGACTAAATTTTAATCTAAGTAAGAACAACGAAATCTATCACCACAGCTAGAAAGAGCGTCTTGAAATTAGTATAATATTACAAAGTTTGGTTGCGAAATGTTGTAAAATACGGAAAATATAGCCCTTCAAAGTTGGCAAATTTGTATACTTTTGTATTACGTGCGTGAATATATTGGTAACTAAATTAGTTACCAATTTCCGCACGTAATATAGAAATGTATACAAATTTGCCAACTTCGCAGGGCTATATTTTCCGTATTTTACAACATTTCGCAACCAAACTTCGCAGTTTTTCTAATTTTGATAACTTCTTTCCGAAAATATCATTTGTTATTCCCGGATTAAAAATGTTTCTAAAGCGCATCATATTATAACAGCTGTGGGCTACAACTGAAGCCTCTTTTCTTTTCATCGCAACAACAGACTCGCAAGCTCACTGCGAGTGCTTTCACGCAATCACAATGCTTAAGCACTCGTACGATTGATTGTTGCATGAGATAAGCGTAACGAGCCCTGAAATTTTTTGAGAGGTCAGAAACGGCTCTGGGCAGTAAACACGAGATATCCAGTTTTCACGTTCTCACCTGATTTATCATGAAAACACCATATTATACAAAGCTGTAATAGAGTTGGGACAATTAATATAAATTATAATATTGATAGTAACACTCGTTACTGTAACAATGTTACTTGCCTCTTATTCAACAACAGTTAACTGCGCTGCAAAAAAATTGCCTCAGGAACTTGAGTAAAATTATTCACATTTTTGCGCAAATTATAAAAAGGAAATCTTTACTCAAAAATTGAGCTAGTAAGTTTGCTCATATATTTGCGTAATTTTATGTCACTGCATGTGAATGCATTATTTTACTCCAATTTTTATTCAAAATACTCTCAGATTTTTTGTATGCAGTATAATAGAACAAATTTACATGTGCATTGCACTTGTGTTTGTGACTGTATTTGAGGCTGTAATATATGCAGGGAATGTGTGTATTTTCACATTTTTGAAAAAATTAAAATTTGTTATTTTCAAATTTTTCACTCGTGTCTTTGTGTCAAAACTAGACACTTTTATCATAAAACCTTTACAAAGTATAGTATAGTATAGTTGGTATAACATAATATAAATCATGTGGTGAGAGCTGTGTGCCAGTATATCTTGTTACTGTAACAATAGTAACCACCTCTTATTTTCCAAACTAGTCAAAGAACTGATTTGTGCATATTGCACGAAATTAAGTTTGTGACTCGAATGTGTGCATTGCACCCCACCATTGCCTATTAATCAATGAAATCAGTGAATGAATTTAATTTGGTAAGCAGAATGATAGGTTTGTTTTTGTTTCCTTGGGAGGGCGGGGGCGAATTTCCATAAATTTTCCGGACGCTTTCGAAATTAAACTGGGGGTAAAATTTTTTCCGGACTTAATATACTTTCTATATACTAGATATTTTTGACACCTCTTTTTAACATTCCTTATTTTTTTCTTTAAATTTGCCCAAAATGTTGTACTCTGATCTCATGAGGGGGAGGTCTTACCCCCCTTCTTTTTTATTGCTTGTGAATAGTTTAGGGGCTTCAGCCTTCAGCGCCCCTATCCTCCTCCCGGTTCCGCCGTCTATGGCTCTAATACGGATAAAATATTGAAACCCTAGTTGTGGAATTGGTGTTTTGCAGGAGGTTCTTTATCTACTGAGCATGTCATTTCCAATCATCAAGTAAACTCTGAAGCTCAATGCTTCCTCCGCTGTCAGACGGAACAAACATGCGTTGGTTTTAATTACAAACAAAGAAACGACTGTCTGCAGACAGATTTTACAGAAAACTGTCAACTTAGTAATAGCAGCAACGAAGATATTAATCAAATTGGAAACGAAGAATGGACATATTTTGCAGCCATTCAAGCGGTCAGTAATGATGATATAAAGCAATAATAGTTCAAAGCGTTTTAACATTTTTAATTGCTGCCAAAGATTTATTGAATTTATGGAAACAGAAAAAGCGAATTAACCAGCTATACGTACATGAGTAATGGCAAACAAAATAACAGAAAGAAATTTTAATTGCATCTCGACAAAGGGCCTTCTCTCAAAACGTCAAAATTGTCCTTGAAAATTTTTCAGGTGGCCGCATGCATCCCTATAAATCCGCAGGTTTCTTATTATGGTACTACCTGCATTGGCACACCACACATTTCTCACTATTCCTATATTGCAAATGTCTTTTAGTGCATGTGCATGCATGCATGCAAGGGTGAATAGTAGCGAAGCAGCCTAGACCTAGGCCTTCTAGTCTTACTTATATTTTTTCATATTCAGCGCTTTTTCACATGAAAAGACTGGGACTAGGTGATTTGGGGGCGGGGCGGAGGAACCAAGCCTAGAAGGCCTAGTTGATTTCCCAACAACATGGCCAAAACTGCCCTGGTTGCGAAATGCCCAATTATTGCGTTCTCAAACAGAATTACTTGCAACTTAACGGCGAATTTAAACCGATACAGGTAAAATAAACTCATTTATAGTATAAACTTACTATTTTTATTTGTATACACGTCTAGAAAATCGGGGTTGTTATCATAAAGTTCGAAGCAGCACTATTATTTAATATGTTGACATTTACTTGACAAGGTGTAGCGAAAGCACAAAATGAGTCAAAATATATACCAAAAGTAGAATCTTTCATGAAATTTTGTCTTATACACAACTACATTAATATATATTTTCTCAATTTTGGCAAGAAGCAGTCTTGTGTTTGTAAAATATACAAACACATATACAATTATAATTTATTAAATAAAACGGATACATATATTATTATATCCATTGTTTACAAATGGTATATCCGTAATATTTGAACAATAATTTCAAATTCCTCATTCCCAAATATAGTTATTCAAAGCAAAACAGTAGATTGTCTTTCGAATAAAAGAATTATTATTTTGTGCTTTCGCTTCACCTTGTCAACATAATAATAGTGTTGCTTCAAACTTTATGATAAAAACCCCGATTTTCTAGACGTGTATGCAAATAAAAATAGTAAGTTATACTATAAATGAGTTTATTTTACCTGTATCGGTTTAAATTCGCTGTTAAGTCGCAAATAATTCTTTTTGAGAACGCAACAATTGGGCATTTCGCAATCAGGGCAGTTTCAGGGCAGTTTTGGCCTTGTTGTTGGGAAATCCACTAGGCCTTCTATTTTTTCGCTTGCGTCAGGCTTGTATCCTTCCTCCGCCCCGCCCCCAAATCACCTAGTCCCAGTCTTTTCATGTGAAAAAGCGCTGAATATTAAAAAAATATCAATAAAAATAGAAGGCCTAGGTCTAGGCTGGTAGCGAAATAGTTGTAGTTCGCCACTGGTAGCCAGTAATTTTTTACTACTTTTTTAATACAGTAGTTGTAGTTATAGTGAACAACATTTTGCCTAAAAGTAGCCAAGTAGTTGACTACTTTTCAAACAACAAATCGCTATTCGCTACCTTTTAAAATTGTTAGCAACTTGATAAAATAGCATCTAAAATCAATATTCAATAGTCAATTTGCACTCCTGAATTAATGTAGTGACACAAATTATTCAATTATTTTATTGCTAAATATTCAGATCAGAAGTAAAAACAATACAAAAGTAGAGGAAAGAAATAAATCTCGACAAGGTATTTAAAATTGCGATGCCATAGCCCTTAGGCATCGATGACGTTAGGCATCACTTTACAATTGATTATTCCCTTTCTTTCGTTTTCGTAGCGCTTTGCTTTGCAGTTATAGTGGTATCACTGAGAAATATAGCGCCCTCGAATGAAAATGTTGAATGTTTTCGGGAATATTTTGCTGTTGGCTATCGCGCACCTGACCCTAGCTTTGTTTAAAAGTTCTTGTACGAGTCAAGAAAAAAATAAGCCATTTAAATATCAGTAATACCACTATAACCACAATGCAAAGCGCTACAAAAACGTAATAAGTGGAATCTAGTATTATTCGCTGCGTGAGTTTGTTAGCTTGTTAGGGTTGTTAGTATTGTCAAACGATAGGACTTGATTAGAGTAGTGGCAGTATCTGGAGATATTACAGGAGACATTTCAAGCACTAACTAGATTAACAAAATTTAGATTTAACGAATGTTCCAACTATATTTTAACTAATTAAATAGAATACCTGCACTCTGATCCTCATTTGATGTGGGCCTTAGTTATAGTCTGCTAGTTTGTTAGCTTGTTACCCTGCTAGTTAGCTTGTTCGGAATCATAAGCTTTGGTATATATTCAAAAATTGTAGTGCATTTGTCTTGCGCATGCTCCAGGGCGCTGCACTGTAATGTTATCCACTTTGCAGAGTGGTACATTGGGAGACGAATTATATAGTTATTTATCTTATAATAATGATACAATAACATTATATAATGAGGATCTCCCAGGGGTTTTCTTGGAACATGCATGGGAATAAAGGAACAAAGCATAAAAGACCATGGCGAAATCTTTGTGAGGAACAAGAAAACAAAGGAAAAATTTCTAAGCGAACAGAAAAACACCGACCCCTGCTGGGAGACCGTCATTTATTATACTGTATAGTAGAGAGTGAGATGCTGAAAAATACACAGTGAGATATTTTCCATATCTTCACTAGTGAAGATTTCGATTACGTGACTTTTCTAATTTGCTTTTGAGCATGAAATTTTACAATTTTTTGCTTGGGACTATATAATAAACAGAACATTACACGGTGGCTTGAAGATATGACTTTTATCTTCTCGTATTATTAAAAATAATATGTACTCACCCGCTGCGCTTGTTCGTAAAATATTGTTTTCACCACTCGAAGATAAAGGTCATATCTTCGCGCCGCATGTAATATCCTCTATAAATAATACGGTTCCTCATTGTTCATATTCTTAGTTAAAACTGTGTACCTGGAAACGTAGCATATTAGTTTCATTAGTTATATTTGATTATTCATATAATATTACAGCTGGGGTTAAAATGAAAATTTGGTACGGCATTGAGGAAAATGACGTTAAAAGATTATACAACGACCCTCGTTATCCAGACAACCCCGACAAGGTAAAAATACTTTCAAGTTTTCACACGGGCCTCAACATCGCTGACAACTATGGAAGCAGCCTTTCGGCATTATATCAGGTAAAGCACTATCAAAAGGCTTACATGAAAATATATATGGTATGTCTATTTTGATATCAATATGGGCTACCGCGCCCATAGAACGAAATAACGCAACGTATAAAAGACATGCAGGACAACAAGAGCGATAAGCATCGCATGTTGGCGAGACTTTGCGTCCGTAATACAGTGATAAGTTTATTGATAGAATAAATTTGAAAGAATTTTCACAACCTCGCCAGCCATGCCCTCTACTTCCCTCTCCCTCCCAAACACGCTCCAACAGAGACCCTGGAACAGGCGTTATGTTAAGTCATAGCATCAATGCTTGATCCTTGGAAGCATGCCATTCATGCACATCAAACTTATTTTACATTTTGTTTTATAAATTTCCGACACCAATGAAAGCGATATTAAATATATTAAGCAACGATGGTTCGATTCATGGAAGCATGATTTTCAATAAATTACAAATTACAAGCGCATGAGTTCGTATAATGTTCATATGACGTTGCAGTAAACAGTTGCGCAACTAATTGCAATGACGGACGATTATGCATGAGGACGCAGTACAGTACAACCATAAATTTAATTGAAATTGGTATAATATAAACTAATGAAATATAAACTAATCAAAATAATATACAATATTACGAAAAATATTAATTTAAATACGGCACAAGAATACATAAAATAAAAAGATTTGAGTTTAACGAGCCCTAACGGGGATTGAGTGCTCAAATTCTCCTTAATTAACATTTTGCCATTCATTCTGTACGAAAACAGATTAATTCACGTTACCATAGAACCACAATGTTTTCTATTAGAAATACTTCATGTGGAGACATTTTTTGTGCTTGAAGTTACCCTGTTTAGCAGGGGCCACCAGCCCCCCACCCCAAACTTTTCAAATGACAAAAAGTGCTCTTTTTGGTGATGATAAGTGCCTTTTTTGTACAAGCTAATTTGGACAAAAACGTCAATTTGATAAAAAACGTGCAATTTCGATATGGTATGCCGCATAAATATCCGGGAAAAATAATTTAGGTGCACTTTCCAATATCCAAAAGTGCCCATGTAAGACGATGCCCCCCTTCCCCCCAATCGTTTGATGCTTCCTACGCCCCTGCTGTTTAGAAAGCATGAGGCCTTGTTGCATGCATGTTCAAGTAATATTTATGTTGTAACTAAGAAATATCTATTTTACTGATTTTCTGTTTAACATGTTCTTTAGCCTTTGCAGACAGGCAATTATACGTTTTATGTTGCATGTGACAACACATGTGAGGTGTTTTGGGGAGAAACGATGGAAGGCGGAAAACTAACGAAGATCATTTCTCTCAGAATGTCTACAGGATATCAAAAGTGGAAGTAAGATAGAATTTCGTAGAAAGAGAAAAAAATCATACTTCCAGCAAATAACTGTTTGATAATTTTTTCCAATTAAACTGCACTCAAAACAAGTATATTTTGTGTTCATGTATTCTTTTCATTTCATTTCATTCTAGTAAAACGCCAAAGCAAAAGTCTAAGCCAATTTATATGGTGAAAGATGGATTGTATAGGATTGAAGCAACATTAAAGGAAGGTGTGAAAGCCGATTATCTCACTCTGGCTATGCAATTACCCAGTGGAGAATTTCTCAAATCTATTCCATCAGGACAACTATTCTCTATTTTGTGACTTTCATGAATTGTTACATACACTACTAGCCATAGTCTATCAGGATATAATGGTCTGCAAACTAAACGGAAGTCATTTGTCAGTGGTTTGTCAATTTTCAACTAAGTCATTTGTCAGGTTTAGAGAATAGTTTATTAACATTATTATGATGAGACACTTCATTGGAATAACATAAAGTACATTGCTGTACTTCTCCATCATAAATAAGACAAATAAGAATGCATCAATGTCTTTCAGTTAACAAATAACATAATAACATGAATTTGCTCTATAAATGTTCATAAACCTCCATGAATGATGGACGAAGTACAGCAATGTACTTTATGTTATTCCAATGAAGTGTCTCATAATAATTTTAATAAACTTTTTTCTAAAGTTTTCTTCAAGTTTATTTTGCGCACCGTCACGGTGATTGACCACGTTGCATTTTTCGTGTAGCATAGGTAATAGCATGTTTTCTAGTGCAATTTGGTTAAAACATGCACGAGTGAGTTTTTCAAAGACCTCAAAATACCACAGGTCCGAAGGAGGAGTGTTATTTGAGGTTTTTGAAAAACTCACAAGTTCATATTTATCCAAATTTCACGAGAAACCATGCTATTACTTATTATTATAATAATTCACATAGAAATAAAATACATCAGCTCTGTCTCGTATCAATTATTAGTTCTGTTGACCTATTGTTGTAATTTAATTAGCTATCACTTTTATTTCAATGTTTTTCTTATTTTCATTATTTTAAAAAACTGTTCGAACTTTGGAAATCATCACAAAATTTAATTTTCTGTTGGATGTTTTAACAAAGACCAGCAATGACATAGCATGCCAAAACTTTAATAAATGGATAACATTAGTAAAGTTGCTTGAATTGGCAAAGCATGCCTTCAAACGTATAAGCTTGATGTAACGTTATTCCGAGTATTTCAGTTCATGGCAAAAATAAACCATCTCCCCATAGGAAGTACATTTTTACAGAGAATTGGTTACAAGACATCAGGGTGCACGCCCGCGAAAACAACGGGCGAAAGTCAGAGAGGGGGTCTGGTGCGAAACGCGGACGAAAAATGAACAAGGGATGAAAGTAAAGTCACCAACCGTTTAAGGTGTCCACCTATTAGGCTTGTTTACAAAATATTGCAGCATTTCATGGCGATAGGAGTACCAAATATTCGTATTTTGTATTTTTTTGTTTCTCTGTAGCTTATTCCTACTGTATTTTCGTGACGGGCGCCAGTATTTTGTGCTACCAATTTGGATGTTTCTTTACCCGTTCGGGTAAATTTGATAATTTCTCATAATTTTTCATTGTTGGGCACATATTATATATTTGGTTGAATTCCCTGTACAAGTGTATGCTTTAAAATACTTAGGCAAAGCGAGAGATCACATATTTTAAAAGCGAAAATGTGCATTCTTGGTCATCATCCAATCAAATAATTAATAACAATTATTGGACGAGGTTGAGCAAAATATCTTGATTTATCTGTGGCGAGCAGATCAGTTCTGACTTGCCTATGCCGAAGGCAGAGGCAAATAATTGATCTGCGAGCCACTGATAAACATGATATTTTGCGATAGCCGAGTTCAATAATTGTTTTATCATTTACCAATTAGTGTTTGTGAATTATTATGGGCACAAGTTTAGTAACAAATACAAGAACGGTGAAAGGAAAAAGTATAATTTAGTCTGACATACACAACGTAAAAATAGTGTATTGCACAAAAATTGTAATTCTTACAAAATCAAGCATGTAAACAATTTAACTTTTGTTGCCTTTTTTGTGTTTTCGGCGTCCTTTCCTCCAGTAAATCTGACAAATCGCTTTCCGATAGCTCGACAAAACGAGCCATATTGCATTTTACAAGAGAAGACAATATTTTTTTAATTTAAGCTGACGAATCATTTTCAAAGTGCGCATTCTCAATGAAGTATTTGCACCAGTTATTTGCACCTACATGATCGATATTTGCACACAGTTATTTCCAGGTAAATTAACCAATCAAAATTGAGAATACTATTAAGTGAATGATAATTCTCTTGCGGAAACCAAATTCAATAAATGTTTCATTATTTATTTAAAAGATCAATGAAAAACACATCAGCACCGTTAGGTTCAATTCATTGAAATAATGACCAGTTCTTTTCCCTATGCAGAAAATCTTTCCTTTCTTCTTTCATTTGAAATTTATTCTTTATACTTTACAGTCAAATCCGGTGTTCCGTTGCTGACTCGTCCCCAGTCGTCTCTGTGACCACGTGCGAAATGGAAAGCGCGCGCAGGGGTGGAAGGGAAGGGAGATAGTCTCCCTCGTTTCGCGCGTGCCCGTTTCGCGCGTGTTCACAGAGACGACTGGGGACGAGTCCGGTTCCGTTGCAGGTAACATTACAATATTGTCATGCAATATTGTCTGAAGCAATATTGATCGGCTGATTGCTTTAGCAAATTGTAACCGACGCGAACAAATTCGGCAATTTTTACGTACAGTGACAGTATATTAAACCATCAACTGCAAAATTCAAAAGTTCATAATATGATTTACAAGCAAGTTTGTAAATAAAGCCTGAAAAATTGTCAACACGCCCAATAATTGCAACTGTATGTAAAAATTGCAATTTGTTCACGTTGATTACAATTTTCTAGAACAATCATCCGATCATTATTGCAATATTGTGTGTCAATATTGCATTGTTGCTGACAACGGAACACCGGATTTGACTATAAAATTTGTTTCCTTCGAACCTGCGAACACGGCCGAAGGCTGCAACACATTGTTTTGGTCGTGTGTGTTTCCACATTTCGTATTTGTATTTCCACAACATAAATAATTATAATACTCGTTTCATAATTTTTTCTTATACTTCTAAAATATTTATTACTTCAAGTTCTTAATATGTTTTTTATCATCATTAGCATTGCTATTATCAACATCATCGTCACTGTCTACAGGTAACTTCTCGTACTCATTAACATGTTTTGAAAATTTAAGATAACACAGAAATATGGCGAGCACAATGGCAGTCATACCGGCATAAATGATAAGTGTGCTGCGTACCCCAATTGCGTGAAAAAGTAATCCAAAAAACGTTGCACCACAGTCCACTCCAAGAATAAAAAACATCGATTGAAACCCTGAAAATAGAAATTAGGTATAGTCGTAAGATGGTCTTAGTTGTATATTGCCCAAACATGAACGCAAATACGTTTCTTTTTCGTCCATTTGCTGGCGTCATACTTTTCCTGCGGCCATTATATAAAGAGCGACAAACTGCGATTACACTTAAAAATAAAGTTTCAAATTTCAGTGTTCGTAGGAACTGCGTTACAAGGTTCGTTTATTTTACTTTAAAATGGCTCGATACAGTTTCCAAAACGTTCTGGTGTATAACAGTTTGACAGATTTAAACGTCGTATTTTTAGGTTTTATGCCGCAGATTTCAGGATTTCTTCTTTCAAATTATTTCAGTTTTGGTAACACATAGTTTGTTGCTATACATATGGTAACAAACGCGTACGAAATTCGCTTTAACTGTAGCCTATTGCTTTGTTTGAAAGAAGCACAATGACCCCCATTGTTTTCGTGCGCTATTTTAAATACAACATAGACTAACGTTAAATAAAGACAATACAAAAAAATCGGTAATGCTATTTTTTGAAAAAACGCAAAAATGTCATTTTCTTTGATAAAATTGTTTTGGTATTATTATAGTGTAAAGGCTTTCGCAGTGACAGTGTGCAAAATTTCAACATAAGTCACCGGACAAAATAATGAGGCATAGCGTACTTAAATTTGCATTTTGAATGACTTCATATAAGGGCGCCAGATTGCATGAGCAAGTCGCCACGTAAGTCCTGTCTTTAACATTCCTGCGAACACGAATGTTCACGCGGGTTTCTTCATATAGCAACACGTTTTGTTTTCGCGATTCTTGTACAAGGGATTTCGTGTGGATTAATATATCGAGCCACCTTAAATAAAAAAAATCCTGCAAAACTTACCAAGTATTACACCCGAACTTGCTTTTGATCCTGCTTTAGAGAAATGCACCGTCAATGCACTTTTGGCCAGTCCATAACCTGCACTATGAAGCGTATCTACTGCGAGAACATACCAATATACTCGCGTGAAGGCCAAAGCAAAGAACGCCACTGTAAATAGTAGAAACGAAACACATACAGTGTTTAATTCACCAATTTTCTCTATCACGTAACACGAGGTGAATAAAAATACCGCCAAAAGTGGTCTTCGAATCAGTGCAGCCGCGCCCATAACTAAAGGACTGGCCTGAAGTCCGTCCAAATACCAAAATTCCCAGAAAACCTGAAATGCGATACACGCTCCAAGATGAAATGTCAATATATACATGTAAATATAGTGACCGTTAAGCACAACACTTTTAACTTCGATCCAGTTAAAGGTGCGATCAGTTTCGTATTTGAATTTAAAAAATGGGAGTGACAGCAACGACGAGAAGAAGAAAAATGATGCTATGAGAAAACTTGCAAAGTAGCCGTATCCATCGACGCCGCATATTTTTATTCTTACTCTCCAAGCAATTATAGCAGAACCGACAATTAATGTGGATGCCCCAACATGTCTCCACATGTAATAAGCCCCATATCTCACCCTCTCATTACCGAGGTAGGTTATCGTCGCGAGACTAGCCAGTGGGTAGGCCACGCCTTCCAGGAACAGTATTGATGATCTTGATATGATCATCACAAGGAACAGGCTGCTCATCCATGGAACATTTTGGCCTTGAACTCTGACGAATTCTGTGGAGTTTACTATATAATAATATACAAAAAATATTCACTCGACTGTGATTGGTTGAATTCAGTGCAGTTATTCCCAAACAACAGGGCAATTTCCTGGAATCATAGTGCAATTCTCTGTAATCACAGTGAACAAATCTGTAACCGACTGATCCGATTGGTGGAAAAATATTGTGATGATAAAATCAACTAATGATGAAGTTTAAAGCAGCTTAGTTTGAAGAC